GTTTGATAATGCTATAAAAAAATACACTCGACTGATAATATATAGTTTTGATAATTAAAAATTTTATCATGTAGGCCTATGTTTTGAATATGTAGAAATTGTAGACTTTCAAATTAAGAAAACCTTTAAAATATTACCAGCAGAGAAATTTTAATAAAAAATTAGAATTATGCAGATGCAGATGTTTCATTATAAAATAATGAAAATATTTTAGTTGTTTATCTTTAAATTTGTAATGGTGCAAGTATTTTTTAAGATTGCAAGTGCCTTGCACTAATTTGTACTGTTTTTTAATTTTAAATGTATTTGAAATATTTGAGATATGCCATTGTTCTTTCATGCATTCCAAATTGGAATATCGGCGAGACTGAACTGGATCTTATTTACAGATTTAAAATGTTTGTCCAATTCTAAATTTTTATTAAAATTTCTTTGCTGAAGTTATTTGAAGGTTTTCTTGTGTGTTATGTCATATATAGTATCAAATCATCAAAAATAGAAAAAGATGCTATTAAGCAACAGATTCAAATTGTTGTCACGTTAGCAAACACACAGAGTATGTTATTATCATATGAATAATCTATACAAAAAACTATTTGCTGAAATCTTTTATTTTAATTTTTACAAATAGAAAATGTTTCAAGACTTTCATCTCATCATCAGTTCAACAGACTGAATTTTAGAATGTTAATTAGAGCATTTTCAAGTTTAAATACATTTTAATTTGAAAATATTATAAAATATATATTCTGTTTAACTAAATGATGGGACAGAAGTCTCAAACATGTTTTGTTTGTAAATTATGTTCCTGGCATAATTAAATATATTTTTAAAAAATTACATAGGAATGTAATTTTTTTAAAATAGGTTTAATTTTTAAATTACACCAGGAATGGCTCTAGAATAGGTGTTTGAAATAGAATACTTTGAGATTTGATGATGAGGCAGTTAAGCTTCAAAATATGTTTTATTTAAATAATAAAAATACTCCTTATCCAGTTAGTGGTTGGTATGTTCAAAATCTGCAATATTTGATGTATTTCTAAAATCAGTTTGTTTAAAATGCAAAAATTTGTCAGAATAATAAAATCAGTAAGATTGATAAATTAAATAATAATAATGAAAAGTTTGTGAAATTCTTTACAGTGTGAAAAATTTCACAAACATAAGTTGATGAATATATAATAGATAAAAATTTTCACCTTTTGAAATTATACTATTAGCCAAGGAACATATTTTATCATCATTTTTTTCCTTCATATAAAATAGTATTTTAATATGATGATGTCATTTTATNAAGAAGCCAGCGGGCAAAAAACAAAGGATGGAACAAGAGAAGTTGACCCTGCAAGTTCCGGTAGCCTCTCCTGAATCTGACTCCGATTAAAAAACAATAAAAAAAGACCCGCTGCAATGTGTAAAAAGTCTGTATCTGTATGAATGTGTAAAGAAAGTGTTCTTCCACCTCCTCCTCACAACATCTGACTACCCAGCATAATTGGTGTCTGCTCCATTTTCATTTTTTATGGTACAGTACGGTTATTTTATGCTGAGGAACAAATTATATGTTTTAACATGTATTTCTATGGGAAAATGTGTTTCGTATAACGGACGTGCACCTGGAACGGATTAAGTACGTTGTACGAGGCACCACTGTATATTTTAATTAGAATCAATTTTAAAACAGATAATAGAAAAATGTTGATATAATCCAAATTGAATATAAAACCAGAATAAGTAAGTATAATTATTATATACAGTAATTTATAATTTCAATATCATTTATGAAATTTACTTTATTGGAATGACTTTGTTGAACTGATTTTGGAATTTTTTTTATATTAAAAAAGTTATAATAATTATATTTATTTATTTATAAGAGATATGATAATTGAATATTACAGTACAAAGATTGACTATTCTTTTACTTATGATTGTCATTATTATTATTGTGAATATTATACAGTAAAAAATTAACAAAAATATTCATGACATGTAATATATCATATAATTTTCTGATATGCCACATGCTTTCCATTCCTTTTATAGTGTGTAAAAAAGGATTCCAGATATAAATTTCTTAAAAGACTTGATACTAAATGATTTTTAAATATATTGTCTTATGATATGTAAATATTGATTGATATAAGTTTTTTTTTAGAAATTCTGTTTCTATTTGACACCTTTTTTTCACTTGAAAATTAATCTTTTGTAAGATTTGTCTTAATTTGTGGATAACTGAATATCATTTGAAATCTTAAAACATGTTTATGATCTTAGCACATGCAAAGTGTATATTTCAAGCATAAATTTTGAATTGTTTATAAAGCTGGATAAATTTGACAAACAGAATATTGTCATATGTTTAGTATCATCAAAACTTCTAATATAATTTAGTATATATCATTATCTACTTCTAAATTATACTACAAGTNACCATGGTTTGAAAAGAATCTGGTACTGATATATTTTTTGGATTTTTTTAAACAACATAAAGATACATAAAAGAAAAATATAATTAAAAATGAACTTAATTCAAAATTTAATGTTAATATTTACATCATTATATGTTGTATTATGATCAAAAATGAATGACTGATACTTCATAAAAATATATTGTAGTGGAAGAAATGACAAACCTTTGAGTTTTTTTGCCGAAGGTATGCATATTTAACTTAAAAAATATCTATGCATACTGAAGCTTTAGAGTTCAATGAAACAACTATTTCTTTTTTTTTTTTTTTTTTTCAATGAGACAAATACAGTGGTGCCTTGTATAACGTACGCCTCGAATAACGGACGCTGCGAATAACGGACTTTCTGTTTGACCGTTACGTGACTCGAGTAGCGGACTTGCTGCGAACAACGGACTTTCCGTTCAGCAGTTATGTGAGACGAACAATGGACTTTCTTCGAACAAGTGCGAATGATGTTTCCACTCTTTTGCCGTTGCCAATGACAATCTGCTATTTTTAGGATATATTAGTATTATTAGAATGTATTATTAGTATATCTGAAGTAGAAATGTAATGTAATATATGTTGATGATTTAAATAAACATTAAATGTAATGTAATACAGTATATGTTGACGATTCAAATAAACGAAATGTAATTGTGTAGATGCCGAGGTGGCGGGACGAAAAGAGGTTGTAAAAAACAAACGGAGCGAGAGTAGCTCGTAGAAGTGTTTAGTGATCTTAATTAATAAAGAATTATTCGTATCATATAATCTGGCAAGTTAAGTCATTTATAATGCATCATGGCTTCTAAAAAAAAAAACAAAGGTGATTTCAATTGAAACAAAGCAAGAAATCATCAGGAGTGAAAGTTGACAAAAACTTTCTTGTCGAATGGGGAGAGGTTCAGGAGTTTACCAACACTCATTATCCAAACAGAGCTGAGGCCAACAGGATCAATGATCTCTACGATGACACCTTTGTCCGTCATTTCCGACAGGTGTTAAAGAAGAAAGAGAAACAGACCACCTTGGTCATGTTTTTCAAGAAGCCAGCGGGCAAAAAACAAAGGATGGAACAAGAGAAGTTGACCCTGCAAGTTCCGGTAGCCTCTCCTGAATCTGACTCCGATTAAAAAACAATAAAAAAAGACCCGCTGCAATGTGTAAAAAGTCTGTATCTGTATGAATGTGTAAAGAAAGTGTTCTTCCACCTCCTCCTCACAACATCTGACTACCCAGCATAATTGGTGTCTGCTCCATTTTCATTTTTTATGGTACAGTACGGTTATTTTATGCTGAGGAACAAATTATATGTTTTAACATGTATTTCTATGGGAAAATGTGTTTCGTATAACGGACGTGCACCTGGAACGGATTAAGTACGTTGTACGAGGCACCACTGTATATTTTAATTAGAATCAATTTTAAAACAGATAATAGAAAAATGTTGATATAATCCAAATTGAATATAAAACCAGAATAAGTAAGTATAATTATTATATACAGTAATTTATAATTTCAATATCATTTATGAAATTTACTTTATTGGAATGACTTTGTTGAACTGATTTTGGAATTTTTTTTATATTAAAAAAGTTATAATAATTATATTTATTTATTTATAAGAGATATGATAATTGAATATTACAGTACAAAGATTGACTATTCTTTTACTTATGATTGTCATTATTATTATTGTGAATATTATACAGTAAAAAATTAACAAAAATATTCATGACATGTAATATATCATATAATTTTCTGATATGCCACATGCTTTCCATTCCTTTTATAGTGTGTAAAAAAGGATTCCAGATATAAATTTCTTAAAAGACTTGATACTAAATGATTTTTAAATATATTGTCTTATGATATGTAAATATTGATTGATATAAGTTTTTTTTTAGAAATTCTGTTTCTATTTGACACCTTTTTTTCACTTGAAAATTAATCTTTTGTAAGATTTGTCTTAATTTGTGGATAACTGAATATCATTTGAAATCTTAAAACATGTTTATGATCTTAGCACATGCAAAGTGTATATTTCAAGCATAAATTTTGAATTGTTTATAAAGCTGGATAAATTTGACAAACAGAATATTGTCATATGTTTAGTATCATCAAAACTTCTAATATAATTTAGTATATATCATTATCTACTTCTAAATTATACTACAAGTATATATAAAATATTTTAATGTCCAATTGATTTTTGATTAACTCTATTAAAGGGATCATTTGTTATAAAATATTTACTAAAAATATTTTGTAACTAAAAGTATTTCAAAATGAATTTTTATAAATTGAAAATAATAATAATATAATTATTGACAATCACATATAATTTAGCTCACAACTGTACTCATATTTTTTATTTAATCAATTATTTTTGATTAAATACATATAATAGAAGATATTTTTATTAAAAGTATTTTGAAAACATTTTTTTGAATAATGTATTTTATTATATAATTTTTTAACAAGCATGCTAATTTATCCCTGTTTTTTCCAATTACTATTGCATTTTTAATTTTATTTCAGGAGCATTACTAATATTTATAATTTGTTTTTGAACTCCTCCCATTCCTCATCTAATATCAATATTTTTGTGGACTAATTTCAAAAGTAAGTATATACCTTTAATACATAATTTTGATATATTTTTAAATACAATATTCCTTACATAATATAAATTTTTTCAAATATGTGAATGTTTAGTCACTGATTAAATTTAGAAAAATATGTATTTAACTGTAAATATTAGTTTTCAATATTACAGTTCACATAAAAATATAAAAACAGTAATTCTTAAACATAGAAATTTAGATGTATAAAAATATTTATAAGAATTATTAAAATAATTAATGATTATTTATGAAACAAAACACATCCTATAGCCTAATATTTACAGTAAATATTCAAATCTTGAATGATTTGCAGTTTTAGAAAAGATAAAGATTTAGATATTTTGAAAACAAATAGTATAAGATATACTGTACTGTAACTTTAATGATATGTGATTTAGCAAAATAGAAACAAGAAAAATATTTTTTTTCAAGATTTGGTCTATTTTTTATTTAAAAAATTTATCTTGTTATTTATTAAATTATCAGAATTTGATTAATAAACATTTTTAAGGTAAGATTATTTAAAAATATTAATTTAGAATATTTTAGATATATAATAATTTCAAACAATTCTTATCTTTCAATATATAGTGAAACCTTAATCTATTGTTTCCAGATGCATTGCTTTCCTGGAAACATTGTTCAGTTTCTACAGTCTCTGAACAGTCTTTATTTAAACTATGAAAATTAAACACACATCAATTATTCATTAATTTATCATTTTCCTGCATCTACTGTATTGTTAGAATTTTTAGTCCTGCAGATTGTTAATCATAGACTGATAGTTTTTATGAAAGAGCAACACCATACACAAATGTTAGTACGCATTGATAGTACTAACAGCAGTTGATGTTTTGGAACATGGTATAGCAAGTAGTAGTTTTGACTCTTTAGAATTAGCTGTGCAACCTTGTACATGTCTTACCTGCTAAACAATGAGCTAGAGAGGAATGGGTAGTGGTGGTGAAAAAGTCAACCCAAACCAATGCCATGTTTTGCCAAAGCACTATTTGCATTTGAATCCACGAGAGTGCTTTGTATACTTACATCATCACTGAAAGAAATAAACAAATACCATGAATATTGAAAATTTTACTTTAAATATAATTATGAGGGTGGTTTTTTTTCAACCTCCGATGGTCAATAGAACAAAAGCAAGTGTAAATAACAAAATGAATTTATTACCAAAAGTTAGGTACAAACACGGTTACTTTTTGACATAATCACCATGAAGATTGAGGAATTTGTCATATCTGTTGACAAGCTTTTCCATCCCCTTGTCATATAATGTTGCCGCCAGTGAATTGAGATGGCCTTAACAAAGTTGTTTTGAAGATCGTCATTAGTCTCAAACCTCTGCCCTGCTATCCATGTTTTCAGTTCAGGAAAGAGGTCTTCACACATTAAAAAGTTCCAAGCTGGGTGGAAGTCTTCACCACCTTTAAACATCCAGCATATAGCCCCAATTTACTGAGTGACTTCCACCTCTTTCCTGAACAGAAAAAGTGGCCAGGAGGGCAGAGTTCAAGACTAATGACAATCTTCAAAAAAACTTTAGGTTCCATCTCAAGTCATTGACAGCAACATTCTATGACAAGGGGATGGAAAAGCTCATCCACAGATATGACAAATACCTCAATCTTCATAGTGATTATGTCAAAAAGTAACCATGTTTGTACCTAACTTTTGGTAATAAATTCATTCTGTTATTTACACTTGTCTTTGTTCTATGGACCATCAGAGGTTGGAAAAAAAAGCTTACATAGAAATGTAGAGAATATTATAGTCTAATTAAAATGCCTTTTTTTCTTACTAAAATGTAAATTTTTGACTATAAATTCGTATCTTCTATTGTGGGGCCGAGGGGGGAGAAAAAAAACTCGACGAACGATAATATATGATATATATCGTCCTCGTCTCCCCTGCCGTTTGGATTGCCGAGCGGTAACAATCAACGACGTGTGGAAGCAGTTGAGTCAGAGATAGATGCTTCGTTTACAAACAACACAACCATTTATTAAACACGAAAGAAGCTTACAAGATTTCCGCGATCTTGTAAGTTCTGTGGCGGCTGCGGCCTCTGGGTCTTCCTCTCCTTTCCAAGATAGTCCCATTCTGAAGGAATGTCCCTTGTTTGTGAATGAACCATTCCATCACATCTCGACGGCTCCGGGACGATGCGGTCGACTTCCGTTGATGGAAAGATGTCGATCCGAGGTCGGGAGATGGAGACGAAGATGGGTGCGAGACACACACACAACAACAACAGGTCCGTCACTTGGAACTTTCGGGAGAAGAAGTCCTCGCATCCTCGAATTTCCGGAGTTTTATCCGTTTTCTATCGGATTCCCCTTTCCGATTGGTCTCTCCTCGTCACCTGATGACAATTCAAAACCTTTCGGGGGCGCGGGAGAGGTCAAAATCGAAGTTTAATTCGATCTCCAACTGGAAATGGTCGACGGACTTACATTCTTCTATTGTTTAGCGTCGCGTTTTCATATAATAAAAATCTATTTCTAACTAATATATTATTTTCTCTAAAACAATTATTTTAACGCAAATTTTAGTGAGTGTTCGGACCTGTCCAGAGCCTCACACTATTATCAGGACTTATTATACTGGCTTTACAGATAATGCTACAAAGTTTAACAGAAAACAATTTATGGAATAAAATAAAAATTGTTTTCTGTTAAACTTTGTAGCATTATCTGTAAAGCCAGTATAATAAGTCCTGATAATAGAAGATACGAATTTATAGTCGAAATTTACATTTTAGTAAGAATATTATAGTCTCTTTAATCAAGCAAAAATAAAAAATAACCATGGGATTTAACCATTGCTTTACAGAATTTTCATTATAATTAAATAAAAAAAATTCTCATAACTTCATAGATGTATATATATACAAATACTATTAATTGAATACAATAAAATTTATTTTCTATCTATCTATCTATCTATCCAGTGGCATCCTCTCTACAGAGGGTTGCATTTGATGAACTATTCCTCTCCATGTTTTTCTATTCCAGGCTTCTCTTAAATCCTTTCCAGTCCAGTCTTTGATGTTATCTCTCCAAGTCTTTCGGGGTCTTCCTCTAGATCTTGTCCCCTCCACCAGTCCCTCAATGACCGTTTTTAGTAGTTGTCCTCCTGATCCTCTAGCCAAATGTCCAGCATATCGTACCTTTCTTTGTTGGATATTTAACCAGATTTAAAATTTTGTTATGGATGTGAAATGACAAAATCTTTTTAAAAGTGCTATCAAATGCTAAATTTTTGACTATTTCTATAAGCTTATTGTAAACTAGTATTAAGAATTATTTACTTAAATAATTTTATAAAAGTAAACAGATGGAAGATGGTAAACTAAACAAAATCCAAAGAATAAATTTGACAAAAGTTAGGAGATTTTAATTGAAAAGTTATTTTTTTGTGTAGAAGAGTTTTCCGAAAAATCTAATTGTAAAATAAATAAAAAAAATGTCTATAGACAGTGGATTTCCACCTCCTATTAACAATTATACCCACTCTGTGTTGAAACCTTGTCCTCCTTTAAATTATATTTTGAGATGCCATGAAATGTTTATACTAGGCTCTGGACTTTTTCACATCCACTTTATTTTCTGATGTACTTTACAGTGTATAAACCAATTGTTCCAAATGCCAATTTGTGTTTTGGGCATCTGTTGCCCCTCATCTGTTGGCTAACAGTATTTATTAGTACCAGTGTTGCCACCTTTTCAGAATTGCTGACCTGGACATTTTAAAATTAGGATGTTATACTGAGGCATGCGCATGCCAGCTCTAAACCAGTTAGGGACTTGTGTTGGAATAAACCTAATATTTGCAAAGTACTCGCAAATATTTTTATAAATTTAGTTTGTTTCATTATAAAGCTTAGTTCACACTGAGCATGATTTGCTAGTGAAAGCGAAAAACAGAGTGAATTAGATGTCAGACATGACATCGTTTCTGGTGGATTTTACCATTTCATGAGTTGTTTCAAAGTTCAGAATTGTCAAGCTTTTTTGCTACCAAAAAAATTTCACCACCAATTGTATTCCCGTTAGTTGTCACGTGGTTCTTGTTGTTTTCAAGATGGCTACAGAAACTTTCTCATGCAATAGAGTAAATGTTGTATTTATGGATTTTTAATATTCCTCTCATCCAGCATCATTTTCTTTTTGACATATCTTTCTTTCCCAATAAATAAACAAACGTGGTTAACGATGGAATATCAGAAGCAGCCATTTTGTTTTTCAAGATGACGTTTTTTTTTGCTTACAAATGATTGGCTCCTTAAAATTCGCAATCACTTTTCGCTTTTGGTTGTATGGGTCAATTTCGCTAAGTGAATAAAAATCACTTTTCGTTTATCATTCGCTTTTGCTATTTGTTCAGTGTGAACTAACCTCAATTTCACAATGTCTACAAAAACTGGACAAGTTAATAATTAATCTGGACCGTGAGATTAAAAACCCGGCTTGTCTGGGCAAAAACTGGCCTGGTGGCAACACTAATTAGTACACAATATTGGTAAAATTATTACTTTACAAAGGTTTTAATTTTTAGATATACCTGATGTAAGTTCTCTACAATGGTTGTAAATGTACTGTTGATATATATAAAACTGAACACCACCATGTATTTTAAACCAGTTAAAAATTCCTAAAATTATATAATGCTACATTTTAGAACAGTGGTTCTTAACCAGTGTTCTGTGGAACACAGGTGTTCCACAAACCTACCTCCCTCAAGTGTTCCATGAAAGAAAAGATTTTAAAGTTTTTATTCAAATTTATTCCCATTGCTATATTCGTAGACAATTGCATGCTTCTAGTTTATTCAATATATTAAAGTTTATTAGTTTATTGCTTTATCGTTTCCTGAGAATAGTAACCATGGAATTGTTTATCAATTTTTGAATGTATTGATGCTAATGCTTCATGTAATAAAAAGTATATGAATGGTGTTCTGTGGCCTCAGAAAGGTTGAGAACCGCTGTTTTAGAACTATACAATGCAAAATTTTTCCAATAAAAATCTTACATACCTTGAATAAAAAATATAAAAAGAACCTTGGTGCAATTTCCATTCTAAAAATTACCTACAGAGTTTCATTTTTACATTTGTACATTTTACTTACAGTACACATAACATTACAGCAGCCCTATACTACCTAACACAAGTTTTGCACTCTGCAAATCATTCCATTAATCAAATGCAAATCATTAATTCAACCAAATTATTAGCATTTGGTTGAATTAATAATTATACAAAAAAGGAAAAATTAGAGAATTAACTTAAAATGATAAAAAGTGAAAATACATATTAATTAAAATGAATAAACAAATTAACTATTAAATTTTATTGCTTATATAAAATACATCTGCATGAACTTTTAAAGGTTGCCACCTTTAAAAGTTCATGCATAATGCATAATCATAATGCAATATGTGTTCTATAGGTCTCGAGTTATCAGCTCTACAATAAAAGGATTATCTATGGAAAATAGTTAGTTAGATGGTAATGTGGATTATATAGACGTGAATTATTGTGGGTTTTCTTATTGGGAACTCTTAGACAAAGCCAATAGTTATTTATTATACCATTATAAACGTTGAAACATAATATGCAGTCAAAATATTTATTCATTTTATAATATTAGGTAATCCAAGTTGTGTTCTTTCAACTTTGAGATTATTGATATATGGAAGGTTGCTGAGTTAATTTAGAAGAAAGTATGTCTTTTGAATTTCTTTATTGGCCTTACTTAGAAAGGATGGGCCTGTCATTGTAAAACAGGCAAGCAGTAGTCAAAAACGGATTTAAAATTCATTAAAAAAGTGGATCTTAATATAATTTGTACGAAATAGTCATACAGAAACATCACAGTATTTCATGTCTAATTGACAAGAATTTGACTATCTTTTGAGCATGTTCCTGAAAAGTTAATTTATCATCAAAAACTTTACCAAGATTGCTATAAGTTTTTACATAACTTAATTTATGTGTTTTGATATAAATTGGAGGAAGATGCAAATTGCAAATTAATGAATATGCATGTAATGACAGTTTTTTGGATATTAATATTTAAATTAGGCATTGTAAAAACAAAGAATTGTATTTAACCTTTAAAGCTATATTGTTAAAGAGGTTTTTAATATATGCTGAGATGGATAACCCACTTAATACAGAACCTTGATGAATCTCACAAATTGGTGTGAAATTGTGGAATTCAAAATCTCCTAGACTTATGTTATGTAATCTTGATAATAAATAATTGTTTAACCAAGTATGGAACACTTTTGTCTATTTATAAGCTATTAGGTTTATCATAACCAAATACATCATTAGTACAATATATATTCAAACATAATTCAGGAGAAATCAATTAGCTGGACAGTCAATTCAGGATTTTGTAATTTTATATCCATTTTTATATTTTAAGAAGCAACCTCACTCAAATGTTATTTTTATCTATCAATATTAGAAACAATATAAAGATGGATTTGAAAAATCCAAAGTTTTGTTATACTGTATAAAAGTTCAAATACATACATACACTATAAAACATACATACATACACTATAAAAAGGAATAAGCAGAATTCAAAATTTAAAACAAAAATGAAATTCAAGCATACATTTGAACACATTCAAAATGTATGCTTGAATTTCATTTGTTTTAAATTTTTAATACACTTTTAACTTCTATTAATAACATTTCGTTGAATATTTAACAAACAATTAATTATAATTCAGAAACATTTAATTATTATCATTTCAGAATTAGAAGAAAGTAGCATTGAATACTTTTTTATTGTCTGAATGATTTATATTTAGTATAATGGGGGAGTGCTGCCTGCATTTGTCTGCTGGTGACTTTTTGTGAAGAGCTAACTTGAAATCTTAACTACTTAATATTAACTGTTTATTTATGTTAAAGTTTAATCATTTTCATATAGCTTCTGTAATATAATTGAAACAAATTTTAATAGGATTAGTTGGAAATTGCTCTTAAAACACAAGTTTAAGATAAAATATTTTAAAATCATAATTACAAGTAAATGTAGAATGCAATGCACTGCAGCAAAACTTTTTATATGATTTGATTCCTATAAAAAATTGTTTATTTTATTATTTTATAGTAACTAATACAAACTTATCAAAAATTTTGATATGACAATATCTTTATATTATGTATAACTACACTAAAGATTATTATTTTTTTATATATTTTATTACATATGCATTGAATACAGTTGCTGCTTGAAGAAGAAAATAATATAGATATATAATTACAAATTTTAGATATGCTTTTATAATTATTTCACATTCAAAACATTTTTGAAATTAAAAAAATAATTAATGTGCAATTTAGAAACCATTTGATCAATTTTTTCCAACTTTTTACTTTTGTATTCAATTATTAGAATTTTTTGTTTATTGAAAAAATAATTACAGTATATCATCCTATAATTATATAATTCAATAATAATTCAAAATTAAAGTCAACTGTATTAAACTAAAAATGTTAATATTTCTTTTATTATATATTTTATGTCATAGAAAGATTTGAATATATTTTTATATATTTATTTTTATTGATATCAAATAAAATTAATTTGTTTTTATAAAATGCAAATTCATTTTCAGAAAATGATTACAACATTTTTCATCTAGAAAAACTAGTTAAAAAAAATAAAATTGTTTAAATCAGGTCAAACTTTTATGTTAAAATTTCTTAATTATCTTTTTTATATACTTAAAAGAATATAATGTAATGACAATAACGTTTTAATTGATGCATTAACTAATTATAATTATTATAATTTAGGTAATAAAATAATTTTTATTTTTTTAAATGTGATTAAGTAATATATTTAAAATTTTTAATTCTGTTTTAGTGGAATCAAATATTTGGATAAGAAAATGGCAAACACTGATACATCTGATTCAGAAGAATATGTATCATTAAGAAAACGAAAAATGGTACCCAGAGCTAATATTTCTTCAGAAAACCCTTCTTTTGTATACAAAGATATTGTTTATCCAGATACTATTAGCAGGGTTAATGATGACAATTGGTCTGATGGCATAGAATTAAATTCTTTATCCAACAGTGTGTCTTTGGATAAATTAAATCATAAAGAGAAACATTTATCTCTAAATTATGAAGATAAGAAAGACCATGAAAGTGAAGACAATGAATTTGATCACAAACCTCTCCTAAAAAAGGAAGGAACTGTAGATGTTGAAATAAAATCAAGTGGAGAAGAATCATTATGGAGTATTGCCTTTCAAGTGTTCATACCTTTTCTAATTGCAGGATTTGGAACTGTTGGTGCTGGACTTGTTTTAGATATAGTTCAAGTAAGTAGTAAATGTCAATAAATGAAAAATTAATAATTATTTAAATCTGTAAAGCATAGAAATAGTTGTTTCTCTTAAAAGTCAGGAAGTATAAACAATAACAATAGTCAACTTAAAAGTAGAAATGTTTCAATAGCTAAAACAGAATCTGAAAATTTGTATTTTTTTTTTATAACTATGGTCGATAAATAAAAAAGGATATCCTCATCTTTTTGATGAATAATATACATATTTCCCATTATTTATATTGGAGAAAACCATTTAAAAAGTTCATATTGATATCCTAGGTGTATTTATTTATTCAACTTTCAGTAAGGAAAGTAATGATTAGGAATTTAGTAGAGAATTTTTATGATTCATAAAAGTCCTTTACTAGAATAGGAAAAAACGAGTGTTTGCTTATTTATATATTTTATAAAAATATCCTTAATTGAGAAAAATCTCACTTCTGATAATCATAATATCCAATTGTTTTCTATTAATCTAAGAGAACCAAACTTCAAAAATGTGGATTTTTATGACAAAAATAACTTAGAAATATTATATTATTGTTGTTAGTTAATTTTTAAATTTGTTACTCAATCTGTTCAGTTTTAAGAATTTTCTTTATTTTCTTTTTAATCACATATCTATGATATATTATAGTTATCAAGAAGTATATGAACTTGTGATTAATTTTTTAATGAAATTTTCTAAAGATATTATACAGTTCAAAACTGGATTAAAGATTTGATGACAGAAATAAACTTAATATAGTTAGTTATGATTAGGGTTGTGGAGATGGTAGACCAAGCTCCCAATTCCAACTCTGACTCATAGAATTTTAGAAAGACCTCTTACCTCTAAATAATAATTTAAAATATATTTTAATTATATTAACACAGAATGGCATTTCATCACTATCAAGTGAATTATCAGGTATTCCTGTCAAAGCTGAAAGTATTTATTTTTTTTTCATAGATTTTTTCCTTATTAACACTATCATCTTCATCTTCAATCACACATTGACACACAAAATGTTTTCTATGGGTGGCTATAGTAAAGTATTCAAAAACACTAGATTTAACCCAAGTCTTCTTAGAATTTTATATCTTTTCACAATAAAAAAAAAATCCAGCAACAAGTTGTGTAACTTTTCCTGTGAAAAACACTAAGACACATTAGCACAAAGTTAAAATTATGTGGGATGCTTTTATGAGATTTTATTTAAAACTTTTTATATTATTAATTATTATAAAATGGCAAAAGCTTAATTTTAAGGGTAGAAATGAGTTTTATAAAAAATTGTAAATGTTAATAATGAGTAAANAATTGGGCACAATGTGAGCCCAGCTGCCACTTCCTCCTCCATGGGATTGTCTCCTGAGCGACTAATGAAATTCCGAAGGATCTTCCATCGAGTGGGGACAACAACTCTACAATTGGACAGTGTAACCCATATATCTGTAAGCATGTTTCTACCAAATAAACGTGTTAATTGTGGATTTACGATCTCTGTGTGAGTCTCTCTGCATCCAACAAACCACTACCCCCATACAGAAAAGGCTTTCTCACATCATCCTGACAGATCATGGGCAAAGCGAGTATCGTAACCTTTAACTGAAAGGTCAACCCCACACTGGTGTCGACGTCAGACTACCTTAACCTCACACATGGAAGATATTAAGAAATTATTATTGTTCTATTTCTTAAAATAACAAGACAAAATTAATTTTTAAACATGTAAAAGATTTAAAATATACTAACTTGGGTAGAAAGACGAGAGGCTAAAGTCATTTCTAAATTTCCTTTTAATCCAAGTAATGCAGGTACCAAAATAAATACCTCTGAGATTTTTTGAAACACTTCCCAATGCTGAAATTATTTAAATAAATCTTTCAGTTTATCAACTTTTTAAAACTAATAGTGTTAAAATAACATTTTTTCAATGTTCAATAATAATAGTAATTAAATGATTTTATTGAATGATTTAATATATTGAAAATATTTTAAAAATTGCCTATATTATAATAAACATCAATTCAAAAACCTTATTTATAGTTTAAGCCAAATGAACAGCTAAACTATTGGGCTATAATACAGCTATGTAATTAACTAAATACTAAATAATTTGTCTTTGTCTCAGATGTGTTGTCAGATATGCTACCCGGACCTCCTATTTTATTAATTACATAGCCACATTATATCATGATAATTCAGCAATTCATTTGACTTTAACTAATATTAAACAGCTACTCAAGAAAATGAATTAAATTAGATATCAGAGATGATGCAATATGTTTTAGGTTAAATATTAAAACACAGTTAACAAAACTATTTCTAATTTTGCTATAAGCAATAATATAAAATAACTTAACTTAAAAAGCAATTAATTCAGAAAAGTTATGTTAGCTAATGTAACATCATAATCAAGGCTGTGGAGTTGATGTCAGAAGCAAATTCATTGTAGAGGAGTTTGAGTCAGTAAAAATGAACTCTGACTCCTATTTTTTAAATGTTATTTATAATAAACTTGTAATAGGAGCATTAACTTCCTATCTTGCATTACAAGGGCCTCCAACAGTAGTGTGTGGTGACATTTGATGATATATCCCTATATATCATATAACATTTCCAATGATTCTATCATTGGAAATGTTATATGATATATAGGGATATATCATCAAATGTCACCACACACTACTGTTGGAGGCCCTTGTAATGCAAGATAGGAAGTTAATGCTCCTATTACAAGTTTATTATAAATAACATTTAAAAAATAGGAGTCAGAGTTCATTTTTACTGACTCAAACTCCTCTACAATGAATTTGCTTCTGACATCAACTCCACAGCCTTGATTATGATGTTACATTAGCTAACATAACTTTTCTGAATTAATTGCTTTTTAAGTTAAGTTATTTTATATTATTGCTTATAGCAAAATTAGAAATAGTTTTGTTAACTGTGTTTTAATATTTAACCTAAAACATATTGCATCATCTCTGATATCTAATTTAATTCATTTTCTTGAGTAGCTGTTTAATATTAGTTAAAGTCAAATGAATTGCTGAATTATCATGATATAATGTGGCTATGTAATTAATAAAATAGGAGGTCCGGGTAGCATATCTGACAACACATCTGAGACAAAGACAAATTATTTAGTATTTAGTTAATTACATAGCTGTATTATAGCCCAATAGTTTAGCTGTTCATTTGGCTTAAACTATAAATAAGGTTTTTGAATTGATGTTTATTATAATATAGGCAATTTTTAAAATATTTTCAATATATTAAATCATTCAATAAAATCATTTAATTACTATTATTATTGAACATTGAAAAAATGTTATTTTAACACTATTAGTTTTAAAAAGTTGATAAACTGAAAGATTTATTTAAATAATTTCAGCATTGGGAAGTGTTTCAAAAAATCTCAGAGGTATTTATTTTGGTACCTGCATTACTTGGATTAAAAGGAAATTTAGAAATGACTTTAGCCTCTCGTCTTTCTACCCAAGTTAGTATATTTTAAATCTTTTACATGTTTAAAAATTAATTTTGTCTTGTTATTTTAAGAAATAGAACAATAATAATTTCTTAATATCTTCCATGTGTGAGGTTAAGGTAGTCTGACGTCGACACCAGTGTGGGGTTGACCTTTCAGTTAAAGGTTACGATACTCGCTTTGCCCATGATCTGTCAGGATGATGTGAGAAAGCCTTTTCTGTATGGGGGTAGTGGTTTGTTGGATGCAGAGAGACTCACACAGAGATCGTAAATCCACAATTAACACGTTTATTTGGTAGAAACATGCTTACAGATATATGGGTTACACTGTCCAATTGTAGAGTTGTTGTCCCCACTCGATGGAAGATCCTTCGGAATTTCATTAGTCGCTCAGGAGACAATCCCATGGAGGAGGAAGTGGCAGCTGGGCTCACATTGTGCCCAATTCCGATGAATCCAATTTCCATCGGTAGGCAGAATCCCTTGTAGCACCTATCAGATGGAGAGGTTTGTTGTGCAGTGGCGTGCCGTCATTAGAAGCGGTGGAAGTGCCGCTTCCCTTGTATTTATAAAAAAATAAAATACATATTAATTAAAATGAATAAACAAATTAACTATTAAATTTTATTGCTTATATAAAATACATCTGCATGAACTTTTAAAGGTTGCCACCTTTAAAAGTTCATGCATAATGCATAATCATAATGCAATATGTGTTCTATAGGTCTCGAGTTATCAGCTCTACAATAAAAGGATTATCTATGGAAAATAGTTAGTTAGATGGTAATGTGGATTATATAGACGTGAATTATTGTGGGTTTTCTTATTGGGAACTCTTAGACAAAGCCAATAGTTATTTATTATACCATTATAAACGTTGAAACATAATATGCAGTCAAAATATTTATTCATTTTATAATATTAGGTAATCCAAGTTGTGTTCTTTCAACTTTGAGATTATTGATATATGGAAGGTTGCTGAGTTAATTTAGAAGAAAGTATGTCTTTTGAATTTCTTTATTGGCCTTACTTAGAAAGGATGGGCCTGTCATTGTAAAACAGGCAAGCAGTAGTCAAAAACGGATTTAAAATTCATTAAAAAAGTGGATCTTAATATAATTTGTACGAAATAGTCNTGATATTACGATTTCGTATATTCCATTTTCTACATCCCTTTAAGGGGATGTAGAAAAAAACGTGTACAATTCTTGTATAATGTTAAAAAATTAACCGTTACTTCGACAGCGTCATTTACAACTAAATTTAATGAATGAGAGAGATGCACCAGGTACAGAAAAAGCTCTAGAATTTATTTTCCTTAAATTTACGATTTATGTATCCATTTGTCATAAAAATTTGTCTTTCCACTTTTTCCCGAGACTACAAATATTCGAGTACAAAGTAACCGGTTTCGACTTATTTCTACTTAAGAAGTGGTTAAATAATTAAGCGATTAGGGAATTGGGGACACAAATAAAACCCTGATGAAAGAGCCAAAATTTTACTTAAACAAAAGTTTAACCGAACCAATCTATAGCCAAGTACAGTGGGGACTGATTTCTTCAAAATACAGTGGTAGCTCAATATACGTCTGCTTTAGAATACGTCCAATTCGGAATACGTCCTGTTTGGATGAAACAAATTTTGCTCGGTATACGACATAATTCAATTATACGCACCATCAATGAACAAGTAGCACTATCGGTGTACTAGACCAGACTAGACGTTTGCGGTGCAACGGTTTATAACTTTGTTAAATTTCTTCTGATTTTAATTCGTAAGTAAAATTTTATTATTTTTATTAATCACGAATCGCAAAAAGGCAAATGAAAAGCAACAGAAAACTAAAAAAATGACTAGAATTACAATGGAACTGATGAAAGAGATTGTTGAGAAATACGAAGGTGACACGCATGTTTGAGATTTTAACTGTTGTTTACCGTATTTCGAGAACGACGATATAGACAATCGCGAAAAATAAAGACATTATTAAATCTGCTAACGTTGCGAAAGGGGTTAAATCAATTTCTAAACAGAGATCGAAGACATTAGATCATGTCGATAAATTGTTTTTGCTTTGGATAACTGAAAAACAGTACTGGAGACAGTGTGTCGGAAGCAATTATTTGCGAGAAAGCTAAAAAGATAAATGCTGATCTCACGAAAAATCAAGCAGGAACTAGCCAGGAAAGCGAGGTGTTTAATTAAAAGCCAGCCTTTTTTTTACACGAGAACGGATGAATCATTTTTACATTACTTCTTATGGGAAAGGTTGGTTTGGTATAAGTCCAAAACATCGGGAACGGATTAAGGTCGTATACCGAGGTTCCACTGTACTGTATTAGACGTAATAAAGACAGAAATGTTTCCAGTTTAACGAGAGTGATCGAAAAGTTGTAAATTTTTGAAATTTCCGTGGACAACACCTGGTCCTAAAATGAATTAGAAAACAAACAACGGACAATCTATTAAGTTTAACGTATTTAGATTTTTACAGCTATGATGAGAAACGTTTAAAATTTACAAGAATCCTGTCGCAACTTTTGAGATATATTAGTGATGCGAATAAACAGGCATTTGACATTGACCGGTATCGGCACCCTGGGGATTTGGCAGACTGCATGTATGCACACTCTGCAACCGTCTTCGATTCCATTCATTAGCCACTCATAGGGAGCTATTTGACTAAGTGCATTGTTTTAAGATTTAAAAAGTAAAGTATATTTTATATTTTTATGTACGTTTCTTTGAAAAGCTATATTTAATTATAATTTTCTTTAAAAATACATTCATATAATTGAAGAATATTTTGTATGTACCAGTACATCCACCACATATTTTATTTCACTAAGTAAGTTTTTATTGTGGGTGTAAGTTTTTATCGTTTATAACGATATGAATGGACCCTAGACCATCACTGACGCGCAATTGACTGATTGTCCCTGGATGTCGGCTTCTTACAGGAACACAGCTTCCCTATCATCAAATGTTACGGCACGCCCCTGTTGTTGTGGGAAGTTCGGTCCCCTCGTTCCTCTATTGGTTCCATTTCACGTGTTTGCCCTCGCTTGGACAATCCTATTGATCCGCAAAACTGTTCACTCCCAACCTCCCCGTGTCTTTGGGATTTTGGGCTTTTATAACCTTTTTCTTCCTGAAATCTGAGATTTTGGTTGATCCAAATGATGGTTCTCTGCGATTCTATTGGTCCCTGGTCTGTTGCCAGGGATGCGATAAGATGTTTTTGGTAAACTTTTGTTATTTGTGAGAATACAGTAGAGCATCGTTTATCCGGAAGCCGATCAACTGAAACGTCAGTTAACCAAAAGCGTTCCAGTCAGATTGTGTCGTGCTGAATCAAATGTTTTTGATACTAGATTAACTTCCAAAATATAATTTTTTGTATTTATTTATATTTTTCAATATATTTATTTTGTTTGTACAAAATAAAGAAATAATTTTTTACAATACAATAGCCACGATTATTATTTTAAAAAATTTACATTGGGCTTAACATCGACAAAAATTCAATGCAAAGCGATGTGCAGCAGAGAAAAATTTCAACATGGGATAGGTTAATATATTTTTTCGTATATAATCAGTTATCCGAACAACCCCAGTCCCCAATTGATTCAGATAAACGACACTCTTCTGTAGTAAAAATAAATATAAAACCAATTTCTAGATTATAGAATACAAGTAGTATTCAGAATTTTAATACTGTCTGTTCTTTGAACTGTGAATATTGTTTACTAATAACACAAATATACAGTGATACCTTGTACTTCAAATTTAATTCATTCCTGAAGGCCATACAAACTCCAAATTGTTCAAAACTTCTGTTTTGGAAATTTTGAACTAAAGTATGAATAACATACAGAGCACCTAAAAGCTGTTGATAAAGAAAAGTTGCAGGAAGAAATTGTTAAAAATAGATGATTAACACATAATATATATAACTAAACACACCAAAAATAGAGTGAAAAAGCACTGAGAAACATAAACATAATGCAAGAGCAAGAGATAACTTGGGCACCAACAGATTATGTTTATGCTTCAAGTGCATTTTTTTCACTGTATACACAGTTCAAATTCCAAAGCAAATTTCTATCAGATTTAGTGTTTAAAGTATGAGGTAGCACTGTATATGTGTAAAAAAAAACACCAAAAACTTTTACAATTCAGCATTTAATTTTTAACAAAACAAATGTTTTTGGTTAATTTAAATAACCATCTTTAGATTCAAACACAGTGTAAAAGAAGACTACATAATCCACTGGGACTCTAACAACCTGTCTGATACATGGTAGTTTCTATACTGCTAGATTATTAGTCTTGATCTTGTCATACTGTTATAAATTTGTATAATCTTGGTGATTGTTATTTTTTTTGTTGTTATTAGTATTGTCTTATGTTATCATCATAGTCAATCTGTAATATGATGTATCTTCCATTCATTTAAATTATTTTGAACTGTTGTGGAATCTTGTTGTTACTGATGAAAAATAGCTAGTTAAATTAGCCAAGAATGTTTTTTTTTTTTAATTAAATGCTGGATTGTAAAGGTTTTCAGTTTTTCAGATTTTATTGTTTAGTTGGACATTCCTTTTGTTTTATATGTATGTATTTTGTATTAACTTTGTTAGGCAAATTTGGGAAATATGGATACTTTGAAAGAACAATGGAAAATGGCTAGTGGAAATTTAGCATTAATTCAAGTGAGTAATTCATTTATCATAATTATTTTTATTGTTACACTAAATTTCTGTATATGCTAGTTTAATAGATGTAAATTAATTTATACATACTAAATAAATATAGTTACAAATATTTTAACATTTGTGAGTTAAAATATCAAAATTTGTTTATTCACAGTTACTGTGCCATATTAGATTATTTATGATTTATTGGTTTCTGAATAAAGAAAAATTTTATATGTAAATAGCATTATCTGATTGAAAAAATGCATTTATTTGTTCAAAATAAATTTTGCAAAATTATGAATTTTTTACGCAAATTTGTTAGAAAGTATACAAGATTATCATTCTGATTTTAATAATAATTTTTTGTAATGTCTAAACTGAGTTTGGCCATTTATGTTCTTGTACATATATATGTGATGACTAAAGCATGTGAATTGGATAGAACTAGGATTAACTGGCTAATACTAACTTTATCCAAATTTTTGGTTAAAGCAAGTAATAATCCATTCATTTTTGAATTTTATCTAAGTCACAAGCTGATAAAGTTGACATTATCCAAAAATTGATTGATGAAGCAAGAACAAAATTTAAAATTTAAGATTTATCCAGATAATGTGGAATCTATCCATGGAGTTTGGACAGAGCTGAATGTAGATTTGTATTCTTATGGGCATGAGCATTTTGGGGCAGTACAAGATTATTGGGAACAGGGTCAGATTTCATGCCTATAATAATCTTCTTAAAATACACTTATAAACTTCCAGAGCTTATAAGCACTATTAGAAGACAAACACAAAACTTGGCATCTTAAAAGTCTTTTCAAATACTAAGGATCATATAAAAACATACTGTGACACTACCTTTTATTTGAGGAAATGCTGAAAAACAAGAAAAAACATTAAAACCATGATCTTTTATCTTTTTCAATTATATTTATTACTATGATCAACTCCTGATATATGCAATTTAAAACGTATATACATATCATATGCTGTAAATAAAAGTATTCCTTATTGTTACTTTAAAGTTAAATCTACAACTTTTATGTATAAATTATGATTTTTAGCTAAAACTGATGATATTTTGGTGAAATAACTGGTATCATCTATTTTTGCTTATTTCATCTTTTATGTAGTAGAGAAATAATAAATTTGAATTTATTTAAAAACAAAATTCTTTCTTTATCCATCCAACCTACATTGGAAATATCATAGTGAAGTAAAACATTAAATTTTCTCTTTACTTTTTCAAAATGGGGTGAATAAAACCCAAATTTTAAGTTTTGTTGTGTTGCATCATTTTTGGATAATATCAGCTTTTTCCATTTGTGAATTGGTTGAAGCATGCTTTAAACAGATAAAGTTCAAAATACATTGTTACTTGCCTTAATCAAAAGTTTGGACAAAGTCACCATTACCTGATTAATCCTAGTGCTATCTGATTTGCAAACTTTAGCCATAACATATACTGTATGACTATTACACTGATAGCCTTATACACATATCACACACATTTACATACATATAAAAAGTTAATAATTTTAATCAAACTTATTCATATTGATTTAATACAAATTATAGAAGGAAACTTGTAGACAATTTCCTAAGAATAGAAAACTAAATCAAAATTAATGGTAAAATTAGAAGAAAGCTTTCACAAAAATTTCAATAAATTATTTTTGATTCAGTAAAAATATTGTATGGATTAAAACAGATTTATTCAACTGCTTGAGACATAAGAAATTCATACTATATGTAATAAATGTCCATTTGATTAGCTAACAGTTAGTATATACTAGTATTATTATTTAAGTAATTAATTGAAAGTTCAGTTGTTTCAGTTGTTTGACTTAGTTTTTTAGTAAACTGCTGGGACTAAAAATATAGTTCAGATATCAAATTAAAGCTCTTATTCTGTAGATGATACCACTGAAGAACAATTTGAGAAATAGTTTTTACTTTTATTATTGTAAATACTGAGGTCAATAAATGTACATTTTAGTTACTAAGACCAATTGTTTTTATCACTTTCTCCCAACTCAATCCCACTAATCTCCTACCACATCAAAAGCCCAACCTAGTTTAAGTAATTTTAACGTTTGAATATCTTAAAAATTTTTATTGATTCATTTAGGGATATCATAATAATACTTGATTATAAATATTAAGTAATACTAGTTATGAAAGATTTTGTTATAAGAATAATTTGTAGAGATAATATTTTTTTCTCAGTGCCAAGCAATAGTAGTAGGGTTTTTGGCTTCATTATTTGCTATGGTGATGGGATGGATTCCAGAAGGAAAATTTGACATTAGTCATGCCATTCTGTTATGTGCTAGTAGTGTAACAACCGCATCACTTGCTAGTTTGATTTTAGGTAAGATAGTTATACTCTAGTTATACTAAAATTACTTATACTATTGATATATTTGTGCTACAAATATATCAATAGACAGACAGTGGTTTTTATATTATTAAGTAATTTTAATACTTAATAATATAAAAACCACTGTCTGTGTGTGTTCTATTAATTGATAATTTAGGAAGTTGAAAAAAATATATGTATTTAAATTAAAATCTTTTTCTGTTCTTTGTATAGGAATTGTAATGATAGCTGTAGTGATATTTTCTAGAAGATGTCACATTAATCCTGATAATGTTGCTACACCAATTGCAGCATCTCTTGGGGATCTAACTACTTTATCTCTGTTATCGGGTATTAGTAGCCTCTTGTACAACAAAATAGGTAAGATATTTCAATACTACAGTAGTCACCACTGAACTTAGACCAGGCCGCAGTTAACATGTCATCCAATAAATAGGTTTAAAAAAAGTAGCTTTGATTCATTGTATGCAGGGCCGGATCATCGTATAGACAAATGAGACAAATGTCTAGGGCCCGGTTTTTAAAGGGCCCGGCCAAATTGTTTATTTTGAAAAGATTTGTAAATAAGATAGTTTACTTTTCTGTTGGACAACTGTATTATACTGATAAAACTGATAAAATATATTATTTAAATATTAACCAAAAAGATTAAATTAAGCAAGTAAAACGGCAAAACCGTATTTGGGACGCGACTATGTCTCGGAGACAATACTAAGCAGAATCACTTTGACGCTCAAGGCGGGTCTCGTTCACATTATCCAATCTTCTTTAGTATCGCTGCTTTTTGGCGCGATCGTTCAAACTTCGCCGGCCACGACCACGAGATTGTCCACAATGCATTTGTGATGAAATTAACCTATCCAATTTCGAAATTTTTCTCCGTTGCAACCCGTCGGCCCGAGTTGAATTTTTGTCAATGCCTAACGAGAATTTCCTGTTTTTGAAAAAAATTATCGTGGCTATTGTATCGTCCAAAATTATTTTATTATTTTGCACAAACAATATAAAGTTTAACCCGATTATAACGTCATCGGACGTAATGACGACTCTAATATAATATCAAATTTTTATCAGTTTCACGATTTTACTATACTAGATAATGTTAATAAACCTACTTCTAACGACATAAAACCCTGTTTTAATGTCATATTTGAAACACTCCTAGATTTACAAAATTAGATTACAAATTTTATTCAACAAAGAAAATACTACGTGTTCAGTCCTAGAGTTACAGTCCAGTTCCTAGAACGACTGTGGGTGGTACTCTCACCACCTGACTTCGGTTTGCCTGTTTGTAGAGAGAGTCGCCATTTTGTATTTAACTTTGACTCGGTTCTCGTTGCTCTGAGTAGGCTACCTACAAGTCTGGTTTTTTTTTATGCGCGCGTGATTTTGGCACTTAATACTCTGTGCCATATTGCAACTCCTGACATGTACTCTTTCATACCTCTAAGCTGGTAACACAGCAGGCAGTACGATTTTATAAACAAGACAGTCTTGTTGAAAATTAATATTTTAAAATAATATTTATTTTGTATAACAACTTTTGTTAGACATTTAATAAAATGAATTTCAATTTGTTAAATTTATAAACAAACTGTTCAAACTTTTCTAGAAAAACTAAAATTTATTGTTGTGTATTAAATATAATAAAAATTTAAGATTTGTTTTAGTTTTTCACATTATTTAGTTTTGTTTTATTTATTGTTTTATATTTTTTGTGTGCTCTATTTCTTGTGAGCGAGGGGGCCCAGTAAGAAGAAAATGTCTAGGGTCCCAAAGTGGGTTAATCCGGCCCTGATTGTATGAATATTTTACATAATTTAAAACAAATACACAGTAATTAATCTTTATTTTTGCTAAATATCAACTTGATATCTTGCAAGTTTAACAAAATTGAGCCGGTCAACTTAAGTCACAGGCATCAAAAAACATAGACCTCTGCATCACTCATGTCAATGAACATAGACCAGCTGATAATTTGCATTTGAATAATGTGTAAAGTACTATTTTTAACTTATCGCTCTACAATGAATTTCGTTCCAGAAAGAGCCAGTACCTAACGGGTACTTTACGCGGGTTTGCATTTGTTAGTTTGCCAGGCCTGGACTTTCGAGTGCACCGAAATAAATTAGAGACAAGTTAGTCAAAATCAATAAAAGTATTTAATAAAGATCTAGGAATAACTATTTACAATATTTATAACAAACAACAAATTTATTCAATCAAATAAAGTCCAAAAAATATCAACCCGACAAAATCACAATCTTATTCTAACTTAGAACTTTTCCCCTTGGAATTCCGACAAAATCAATCCTTAACTTAAGGTACAGAAATTCTTACAACTACAAATCCTAACTGTCACCTCAATTATACTAGGAACCTTTTTTCCAACTCAAGACTTTTCCTATTCCTCGATCCACAAATCGAAAACTGCAATCGCTTTGGACTATTTCCTATTGGACACCTCGTTCACTGCTACTAGCAGACTACGCTTATTCCTTTCAGGAGCTCACCTCTGTTGTCTTCACTTGAGCTACGCTATTTATAGTCTGAGGTGACGTCACAGTTTCTAAGTGAGACACTCCCCTCATTTACATACTTACTTGTAACATTCACTATTTCTTACTTATCTGGTAGCTTAATTCCCGACAATACTTTGTTAACCTTTTACAGTCTTTTCTTGAACAATTTTTGGGATGTTTTCTTTAAGGTTTAACAAGTCCCTAAAAGTCTGTAGGGTCTTTCCCCCCCTTTTCAATGTGGGCTTACTATCTGCCGCTCAGGCGTGCATGTGAGTGCAATTGCTAGCTATGGTGCTTTCGTTGCGTTGTCGGTGAGTTGGTTTTATCTTCTCTCTTTTTTACTTTCTAAGGTGATGGGTGAGGAAACCTTCGTCCTAACTAAACATAAGCCCCAAACAAAATATAATAAAAGCAAAATAAAAGTAAAATAAAAATAATGCTCGGACTTGGTTCCTTACAAATGTTACAATTGCATTTATGAAACAACTGATTATTTTAGCCTCATTTTAGCCTGAAGTAATCTTGTGAATGATATAAGGTGTTTTTTTTTAGTTTTATTTATGAACTTTTACATTTTATCTACAATGACCAGTGGAAAAGCTGTTTCAGAAGATTTAAGGAATGCTATCATTGCTAAATAAAGTCATGACATGTCTGAGAGAGCTATTAGAAGAGAGCTAGTGCTAAGCAAGACAACAGTGCACCAGATTATTGTTTATTACACTAACGACAGCCATGGTTTACCTAACAAAACTGCTGGACATCAGCGAAAAACTTCAAAAGTTGATGATAGGAGTTTTAAAAGAATTGTGAAAAACAACTGCCTTGCCACAGATATTGAATGTAACTATAATATGGAATGATACAACTGGAAAGAAAGTATCTGTTTTGACAACATGCAGGAGACTGCAAGAAATGCATTGCCAGTTCTATGCAGCACGTGAAAAACCTTTGCTAACAGCACATCAAAAGAAAAAATGGGTACAGTGAGCCAAAGAACATCTTTCCTGGTCTCAACAAAAGTGGCATGAAATTCTGTGGTCTGATAAATCAAACTTTGAATTATCAGCAACAGACAAAAACAAACATTTCATTTGATCTGCCACTGAAGCTAATGAGATATTGTTGTTATACTGCTCAGTGAAATTTCCTGCCAGCTTTATGGTGTGGGGATGTATGGTTCAGTTAACATTTGTTGATGGAACACTTGCTTCAGAGCAATACATTAACATTCTACAACAGTATTTAATTCTGTCCATAGCAAAACTATATCCAAATAGAACCTGCATTTTCCAGCAGGATGGAGCCACATATCATATAAGCAGAAAAACGAAACAGTGGCTTGCAGAAAATAACATAGAAGTTCTTCCTTGGCCATCCAACAGCCCAGATCTTTTACCAGAACATTATGAAGAGATGTCTGCGAAAAACATTCCCTCGGACAGTTGAAGGACTAAAAGCTTCCATCTTAACTATCTGGAATTCCATAATGGCAGATGAATGTGAACACCTAGTCAACAGCATGCCGAAATATATGGAAGGTGTTTTGGCTGCAAAGATGATGCAACAAAATATTAAACATGCAGTGGTCTATTTGTGACTCAAGTTTGACTGGCTCAATCTTGTTAAACATGCAAGATATCAAGTTCATATTTAACAAAAATAAAGATTAATTACTGTTTATTTGTTTTAAATGATGTAAAACATTCATACAGTGAATCAAAGCTACTTTTTTTAAACCTATTTATTGGATGATATGTTAACTGTGGCCTGGTCTAAGTTCAGTGGTGACTACTGTATCATAAAATATTTAACACGTTTTGTTACATATTTTTTTTAATATACAGTGGTACCTTGGTATACATCTGCTTTAGAATACATCCAATTTGGAATACAGTGGTGCCTCGTATAATGTACTTAATCCGTTCTAGGTGAACGTCCGTTAAGTGAAAAGTCCGTTATACGAAACGCATTTTCCCATAAAAATACATATTAAAACATATAATTTGTTCCGCATCACAAAATAACCGTACTGTACCATAAAAAAATGAAAATGGAGCAGTCGCCAATTATGCCGGGTAGTCAGATGTTGTGAGGAGGAGGTGGAGGATCACTTTATTCACACATTCATACAGATACAGACTTTTTACACATTGCAGCAGGTCTCTTTTTATTGTTTTTTAGTCAGAGTCAGATTCAGGAGAGGCTTGCAGGGTCAGCTCCTCTTGTTCCATCTTTTGTCTTTTGACAGCTGGCTTTTTGAAAAACATGTCCAAAGTGGTCTGTTTCTCTCTCTTCTTCAACAGGTTCAACACCGGAAATGACGGGCAAGGGTGTCATTGTAGAGATCATTGATCCTGTTGGCCTCAACTGTGTTTGGATAATGAGTGTTGGTAAACTCCTGAACCTCTTCCCATTTGACAAGGAAGTTTCTGTCAACTTTCATTCCTTCTGATGATTTCTTTGCTTTGTTTCAATTGAAATCACCTTTCTGTTTTTTTAGAAGCCATGATTTGCACAACACTTGAATAAATGTAAATACCCTGCACTGAGGTGATGTACGTAATAAACAAGGAAGCAAGCCGAATCCCAATGGGATCTGAATCTGAAGTACAGATATACTGTACTTCAAATATACTAATAATATATTCTAATAATATTAATATATTATAAAAATAGCAGATTGTCATTGGCAACGGCAAAAGAGTGGAAACGTCATTCACACTTGTTCACAGAAAGTCCATTGTTTGCCTAACGTAACTGCCAAACAGAAAGTCCGTTGTTTGCAGCCAGTCCGTTGCTCGAGTCACGTAACGGCCAAATAGAAAGTCCGTTATTCGAGGCGTATGTTATACGAGGTACCACTGTATGTCCTGTTTGGACGAAACAAATTTTGCTCAGTATACGACTTTTGTTCGGTATATGACTTAATTCAATTATACATGCCATCTATGAACAAGTAGCACTATCGATTTAGTAGACCAGACTAGACATTCGTGGTGCCGCAGTTTATAACTTTGTTAAATTTCTTCTGATCTTAATTTGTAAGTAAAATTTTATTATTTTTATTAATCATGAATTGCAAAAAGGCAAATGAAAAGCAACAGAAAACTAAAAAAAATTACTAGAATCACAATGGAACTGAAAAAAGATATTGTTGAGAAATATGAAGATGGTATGCATGTTTGAAATTTTAACTGTTGCATACCATATTCTGAGAACGACAATATCGACAATTATGAAAAATAAAGACATTATTAAATCTGCTAACGTTGCAAAAGGGGTTAAATCAATTTCTAAACAGAGATTGAAGACATTAGATCATGTTGAGAAATTGTTTTTGCTTTGGATAACTGAAAAATAGTGTGCTGGCGACAGTGTATCAGAAGCAATTACTTGTGATAAAACTAAAAAGATGCATGCTGATCTCATGAAAAATCAAGCAGGAACTAGCCAGGAAAGTGAGGTTTTTAAAGCCAGCCATTTTTTTTACATGAGAAATGGATTAATCATTTTTACATTACTTCTTATGGGAAAGGTTGGTTTGGTATAAGTCCAAACATCAGGAACGGATTAAGGTCATATACCAAGGTTCCACTGTAAATTGAAAAATATTTTTCTTGAATATTTTATGATTTTTCTAAGCTGTTACAAAGTGTGTCAAATTCTTTTTAGACACTTTTAGTAAGTCTTATATTTTTTATTATTATTTTACATTTTTTTAAATAGTTACATTATAATTTTAATTAATATTTTAATCTAATTAATATTTTCAATAATAATTATTTTCTAAATGTATAATTTTGACAAATTTAAATGTTCTAAATAGCTCTAAAACTAACATCATTTTTTTTACAGGACCAAGCCCATTATTAGCTCCATCAATTGTTATTTTCTGTTTACTTTTAATACCAGTTTGGTCTTTTATTGCTTGTCATAATAAATATACTCAAGAAGTATTATATTCAGGATGGACACCTGTAATTAGTGCAATGGCTATTTCTAGGTATTTATATTACATAATTTAATTGCATATTATTGTTTTAATCAAAATACATAAATCTTCAGAATTGATTAGATTTTTTTCTTGTATTTAGCTCTATTAATGGATTTTTTTATTTGGTGCATTTAATGTGTTCAATTATAACAAAATTTTATAAAAATATAAAAATTTGAAACCATAGATATAAATACTGAAAATACATGTTCAATAGTTATTCAGATAATCTACAACTCATATAAAATAATAGAAAATCTTAAAAAACAATAATTTTTTTAAGTCTTAAAATATTTTATTGATAAGCTACAATAAATAATAAGACCAAAAAATTTTTAATTTGTAAATCTTAAAAAGTAGTAATACTTTGCACTTTACTTAGATTAAAGTTGGATTAGTAAAAGTGTAAAGAAATAAATCAAAAATAACTACAGTAAAACCTTGTTACTTCAAAACTTGGGACCAAAAGACATGATTTTGAATTATCAGAGTTTAGATTATCTGAACTTTTTTCAGAATCAAAGTTTTTTTGTAATTCTTGAACAAAATTATGACATTATCATATATAATTTTACCTGTTTGTTTACAAATACATTAATATTATGAGTTATTATTTAGTAATTTAAGCTATTTTGAGAAAACCATCAGTGGTGTGTACCATACTTAATGAAAACAATGAAAACATGACAATGAAAACTAGTATTAGAATTAGAAAATTTACTTAATGATAAATTAGTAAAAGTACATAAAAAGCAGTCAAGAATATTATATTTTATAGTAGCATAAATGTAAAGGGCTATCAAAATGCATCATCTTTCTTGCTGAAGAAATAACATTAAAAAATAATTTTATAGAAAAAACTATAATTACCAGCATTAGTGGTAAATTATTTAAGATTTTAAGTCTACAATCATTTATACAAATTCAATTTTTTTACTCATTTTTTCACAATAACACAATTTTTGATTCCTCATCACTTTGATTTGTCATTGAGAAGTTTCACTTGTATNCATTTTTTCTATTATTTTTACATAGGTAGTCATTCAAGGACAGCAAGAGTATTATTATTAATGGTTATCCCAGGACATTTAATTTTTACATATGGTATCCGATTTCTTAAAGCGGGTCATACATCAGTCACGCCAATATTTCTTGTAATATATTTATTTGCTGCATTTCTACAGGTACTTTAAATATTTAATAACAAATGAAACATTTTAAAAATAAGACAAATATAAAATATTTAAAATACAGCCAAACCTTTGATTATAAATGCTTCTGTTTACGAACAAAATTTTGAATGCCAAATTTGCTCTGGTTGCCATATGATAAATCTGATTCTGAACAAGCTGCTCAGCAGAGCTGGCCACCAATGGTCAACTCCCTATACTTCCTGTGTTAAAGTCGACAACCCAACCAATTGGCGACAGGACCACCAGTTCAGAAGTTAGTGGTACTAAAATCATCTTGTGTCATTCTTGCAATATAGACATCACAACACGAATCATTGATGGCATTGCTACTTAAAATACATTTCAATGTGCATGCAGGAAAGAAACTATTTCTGTTTTTTTGTATGCACCACAATTGAATTTAAATCAAATTAATTAATAAAAACTGCCTTAATTGACATTCACATAATATAAATGGCATTCAAGATTTTGTGTTTAAATATGCTTAAGTTAAATTAAATGATAATTTATTAATATAATATATAATATCTATAACCAGTTAAACTAAAAATAATAAAATAATAATTAAAACTGGCTTTTATATGAAAACTTTAAATTAATAAATAAAAATTATATGTATGTATATGCTTATATATGTCATGTGAAATATAAATGGCTTTTTAAAACTAGTTTTGTATCGAACACATATATCTGAATGTGAGCTATTTATAAAAATAAAATTTGTACTTTTAAAATTTACTATAGAAGATATTAACATTAATAATTAATAATTCATTTTATAGATGTATTTAGCAAAAATTGCACAATAATAAATTGTAAACGATAGGGAAAGTAAAAATTAGTTGCTGGATTTAAACAAAAATAATTTTACATTGATTTATACAGTACACAGTAGGTGAGCTTTTGAAAGTTGAATATTAATTGAAACATCTTAGCTTTAAAGTGTTGAATTTGGAAATAAGTATTGTTTATATTCATGTTAATATGATATTAAGATACTAAATCAATTTTGAATTATTTAGTCTCTATTTTATTAAATATAACAATGAAGTTCCATGTCTGTTTACTTTTTCTCATTATTGTAATATTAATTCTTAAGTGTTCATAGAGTATAAAACTTGATGTTACATAATTATGATACAAATCACATAAGTTTAATTCAGTGCAACATATAATTGATGTTTTAGAATTTCTTGTGTTATCACAGCATGTGCACTTATGCAGATAGTAAATGTATTTTATATTAATACACATCATGAGTATCAGTATTATGTTTTATAAGTGGATTTTAGTTAGTTCTTTTACTCTTACAAATTCATAATGCCAAGTGTTTGCCATGAATGTTTACTCATGGCAATACTCATGGTAAATTATTAAAAAAGGTCAAAGAAAAGATTTATTGATGGAAGTAAAAATAATTTTGATATCATTAATGTCAGGCCATTTGAAGAGATATGTCATTATTTATGATTGATTACACTTTTGTTGTAAATGAATCTGCCATGATACATTAAGAAAGAGAGAGAGAGATTAGAGATGTAGCAGTAAAATTTCTTTGTATGGAAACATATTTTTTAATTTTCTAATCATATACAGTCAATTCCATTTAATTGGGCCACCGGTTAATCGGGACAGCTACTTTATTAGGCCAAATCCCAAAGAATGGAAACCAAACTAATAAATTAATACATAATTTAATTGTTTAATTGGGACAGTAGCAGAAAAGGAATTTAGCAAGTTTTGATATATTTTAGGGATCTTCCAAAAATATGTAGACACTACATACACTAATGTCTTGTAGACCTAATGATTGGCAGAGACAAAGCAATTTTGTCTTTTGTTTGGGCAATTCAGTTTTTCCAGAAGGGGTCACCTTAGCGGGATGTATCACATGGGGATTCCGTCTGATATGGACCTGAATGCGTACTACTGACCCTGCTCTGGATTGGACTGGATGACCCCTTTAAAAATGAAGGAACAAATGACCCCTTTAAAAGAAGGAACAACAGATAATTTTTCAAGGTCTCTCGACTGAGTTGGAAGACAGCTAGAGTTTCCTTGGAAGGTATTATGTGCATAAGTATGTCTAGATTCAAATGGCAGCCATCCAATTGTTGATATTAGCATCCACAGCTGGCAGATTCTATGGACACTTGTGCCAAAGTGGCCCATCTCCAAGTAAAGGAAATCTCCAAATAAAGGAAACTGTGCTCAATGGAAGACCGTAAGGTGACTTTTGGATGAAACCTTTCTTTCTCCCTTTTTAGTTAGAACATGTTCTAACTAAAAAGGGAGAAAGAAAAAATCTTTCGATCAGGAACGAATCAAATGGTCAAACCTCATGTATGTCACTACTAATATTTGGCAACACTATTTTGCAAATCAGTTATCTATTGTTGTGAGTCTGGCAAAATTTATAGTACAAATATTTTCAGTATTATGGTTTAATAAAGCATTAAAATAGGTACAGGTACCTAATTATTATTTTTATCTATGTATTAAATATTTTATTTTAGAATTTTTTATAGTTCATTTAATTGGGGTAGCCACTTAATTGGTCCCAACGTGTCCCAATTAAGCGTAATTGACTTTTTTTCCTCAAATTCTAACCTTATTTTTCCTGTCTGTATTTGCAATTTTTATATCTGCAGCAATTTCGCTGAATTGGCATTATTAACTTTTCTATTATAATATATATTATTATTGATTGTTTTCAATAAAGGTGTTGGTGGTAACTTGGTAGCTGTACAAGCAAGCCGAATTTCAACATCACTCCATCAGACAGCTAAATTAGGTTCATTACCACCTAATGATTCCAAATTATGCATAAATTTTTTTTCTGCATTTTTTGGTAAAAGTAAGTTTCGTGATTTTTTAATTTCTTAGTAAAAGTTTAATTTGTTATAAATAGAAAATTTTTCAAATTTATTTATTTGATTTTATTCATTTTTTCTATTATTTTTACATAGGTAGTCATTCAAGGACAGCAAGAGTATTATTATTAATGGTTATCCCAGGACATTTAATTTTTACATATGGTATCCGATTTCTTAAAGCGGGTCATACATCAGTCACGCCAATATTTCTTGTAATATATTTATTTGCTGCATTTCTACAGGTACTTTAAATATTTAATAACAAATGAAACATTTTAAAAATAAGACAAATATAAAATATTTAAAATACAGCCAAACCTTTGATTATAAATGCTTCTGTTTACGAACAAAATTTTGAATGCCAAATTTGCTCTGGTTGCCATATGATAAATCTGATTCTGAACAAGCTGCTCAGCAGAGCTGGCCACCAATGGTCAACTCCCTATACTTCCTGTGTTAAAGTCGACAACCCAACCAATTGGCGACAGGACCACCAGTTCAGAAGTTAGTGGTACTAAAATCATCTTGTGTCATTCTTGCAATATAGACATCACAACACGAATCATTGATGGCATTGCTACTTAAAATACATTTCAATGTGCATGCAGGAAAGAAACTATTTCTGTTTTTTTGTATGCACCACAATTGAATTTAAATCAAATTAATTAATAAAAACTGCCTTAATTGACATTCACATAATATAAATGGCATTCAAGATTTTGTGTTTAAATATGCTTAAGTTAAATTAAATGATAATTTATTAATATAATATATAATATCTATAACCAGTTAAACTAAAAATAATAAAATAATAATTAAAACTGGCTTTTATATGAAAACTAAAAATAAAATAAAATAAATTAATTCAAATTGAAATTACACCAATTGAAACACCATATTTCGTAAAGTGTGGATAAAGTACTTGTCTGTACTAGTATACAAAACAAATTATAAATAGTTAAAAAAGGAAAAAAAGGCATAATAATTAAAAATTACTTGTCTGTGTTGATTGATTTGGTTATTTTTCATGCAGGCAGTCAAAGTTGAGTTTCTATTCATAGCACTTCTTTGTAAAATGTTATTTTTGGTTTCAGTTGGTGGTGATAGAGCATTTTTCTTTTTATATATAATAAATATAGGTATAGATAAAGTAATAGTATATATAATATTATATTGCCTTTATAGGCATTTTAAAAAGGGTAAAAAAAAATGTTTTGTTTTGGGGTCTGATTGATTTTACATTGTTTTTTTATGGGAAAATTTGTTTTGGTTTGAGAACAAATTGGTTTCTGAACAACTTTCAGGAACAAGTTAAGTTTGATGAGGTTTGACTGTACAGTGAAATTCCATTAACCTGGAATTCAGTAAGTTTGCATATGTGAACAGTTGGTGGTTATTTGTGCATTGTTCTTTACCATCATCATCAACAACTTCTGATATGAACATTGTAGAAAAAGAGGAAGACTAAGACAATGTGTAAGACAACTAACTGGTTTTACCTAGCACATAATCACGATGTGCTAGGTAGGTAAAACCAGTTAGTTTGTGCATGATTTTTCTAGAGATTTTTCCAAAAACATTAGTGTGGATTTGATATGAGAAGCAGAAATATTTAGCACATTTAGAATCAATAATTATCATGGAAAAAGCTACAGTGCATTACTGTTTGTGTACTTTGTACACTTTTATTGCATATAAATACAGACATACACTAATTATCAAAGCACAAAATAAGAATAGCATTCTTGTTACAAGCCAACTAAGGGCAGGAATAAACTGGAAAAATTGAAATGGCATGTTAAACAATCATAAAAGGCAAATTTGTACAGTTTTAAAGGCAAAGATATGTAAAATTGTTCCTAGGGGATTGAAAAAACAAAAAATTTCCACTGTCTGATATATCCAGCACTGTATCACTCCTGATGATACTGAGTTAAAGGAATTTTACTATAATAAAATACTTATAAAACACATTTATTTATCTAAAAATAATAAAATAATTGAAAGTATTGTTGTATTATTTAAATTTACAATAATTATAAAAATGAATNAATTTATTATTAGTTCATTTAATTGGGGTAGCCACTTAATTGGTCCCAACGTGTCCCAATTAAGCGTAATTGACTTTTTTTCCTCAAATTCTAACCTTATTTTTCCTGTCTGTATTTGCAATTTTTATATCTGCAGCAATTTCGCTGAATTGGCATTATTAACTTTTCTATTATAATATATATTATTATTGATTGTTTTCAATAAAGGTGTTGGTGGTAACTTGGTAGCTGTACAAGCAAGCCGAATTTCAACATCACTCCATCAGACAGCTAAATTAGGTTCATTACCACCTAATGATTCCAAATTATGCATAAATTTTTTTTCTGCATTTTTTGGTAAAAGTAAGTTTCGTGATTTTTTAATTTCTTAGTAAAAGTTTAATTTGTTATAAATAGAAAATTTTTCAAATTTATTTATTTGATTTTATTCATTTTTTCTATTATTTTTACATAGGTAGTCATTCAAGGACAGCAAGAGTATTATTATTAATGGTTATCCCAGGACATTTAATTTTTACATATGGTATCCGATTTCTTAAAGCGGGTCATACATCAGTCACGCCAATATTTCTTGTAATATATTTATTTGCTGCATTTCTACAGGTACTTTAAATATTTAATAACAAATGAAACATTTTAAAAATAAGACAAATATAAAATATTTAAAATACAGCCAAACCTTTGATTATAAATGCTTCTGTTTACGAACAAAATTTTGAATGCCAAATTTGCTCTGGTTGCCATATGATAAATCTGATTCTGAACAAGCTGCTCAGCAGAGCTGGCCACCAATGGTCAACTCCCTATACTTCCTGTGTTAAAGTCGACAACCCAACCAATTGGCGACAGGACCACCAGTTCAGAAGTTAGTGGTACTAAAATCATCTTGTGTCATTCTTGCAATATAGACATCACAACACGAATCATTGATGGCATTGCTACTTAAAATACATTTCAATGTGCATGCAGGAAAGAAACTATTTCTGTTTTTTTGTATGCACCACAATTGAATTTAAATCAAATTAATTAATAAAAACTGCCTTAATTGACATTCACATAATATAAATGGCATTCAAGATTTTGTGTTTAAATATGCTTAAGTTAAATTAAATGATAATTTATTAATATAATATATAATATCTATAACCAGTTAAACTAAAAATAATAAAATAATAATTAAAACTGGCTTTTATATGAAAACTAAAAATAAAATAAAATAAATTAATTCAAATTGAAATTACACCAATTGAAACACCATATTTCGTAAAGTGTGGATAAAGTACTTGTCTGTACTAGTATACAAAACAAATTATAAATAGTTAAAAAAGGAAAAAAAGGCATAATAATTAAAAATTACTTGTCTGTGTTGATTGATTTGGTTATTTTTCATGCAGGCAGTCAAAGTTGAGTTTCTATTCATAGCACTTCTTTGTAAAATGTTATTTTTGGTTTCAGTTGGTGGTGATAGAGCATTTTTCTTTTTATATATAATAAATATAGGTATAGATAAAGTAATAGTATATATAATATTATATTGCCTTTATAGGCATTTTAAAAAGGGTAAAAAAAAATGTTTTGTTTTGGGGTCTGATTGATTTTACATTGTTTTTTTATGGGAAAATTTGTTTTGGTTTGAGAACAAATTGGTTTCTGAACAACTTTCAGGAACAAGTTAAGTTTGATGAGGTTTGACTGTACAGTGAAATTCCATTAACCTGGAATTCAGTAAGTTTGCATATGTGAACAGTTGGTGGTTATTTGTGCATTGTTCTTTACCATCATCATCAACAACTTCTGATATGAACATTGTAGAAAAAGAGGAAGACTAAGACAATGTGTAAGACAACTAACTGGTTTTACCTAGCACATAATCACGATGTGCTAGGTAGGTAAAACCAGTTAGTTTGTGCATGATTTTTCTAGAGATTTTTCCAAAAACATTAGTGTGGATTTGATATGAGAAGCAGAAATATTTAGCACATTTAGAATCAATAATTATCATGGAAAAAGCTACAGTGCATTACTGTTTGTGTACTTTGTACACTTTTATTGCATATAAATACAGACATACACTAATTATCAAAGCACAAAATAAGAATAGCATTCTTGTTACAAGCCAACTAAGGGCAGGAATAAACTGGAAAAATTGAAATGGCATGTTAAACAATCATAAAAGGCAAATTTGTACAGTTTTAAAGGCAAAGATATGTAAAATTGTTCCTAGGGGATTGAAAAAACAAAAAATTTCCACTGTCTGATATATCCAGCACTGTATCACTCCTGATGATACTGAGTTAAAGGAATTTTACTATAATAAAATACTTATAAAACACATTTATTTATCTAAAAATAATAAAATAATTGAAAGTATTGTTGTATTATTTAAATTTACAATAATTATAAAAATGAATAATTGCATATAAATCTGATTTATTTTAGGTCTTGATGCTGTTGTATTTTGCTCATTGCATGGTATATTGGATGTGGAGGCGTAAAGTAGATCCAGATAATTCAGCAATACCTTATTTAACTGCTTTAGGTGATTTATTGGGTACAGCATTACTGGCATTGGCATTTATGTTTTTATACAGTATTAGTGACAAAGATGCAGATGTTGGAGATTAATTTTATTATGTTTTAACACTATTTTTTTTAGTGATAAATTACTGTATTTTCTTAAAATTAAGATTTTATTTTTCATTGAACCATCTAGTTTTAGCATTTTATTTAATTAATTTCATTAAAAAAAATTATTTTAGCCTTTGGTTTATAAAATTTATAGAAGTTTAATTTTTTAAATGGAAAGTCTTGTTAATATTATTTTATGACAAAGATTAATAATACATTTTTGATCATTTATATTTATTTGACAAAATTTCAAATTAAAAGAAATTCTGCAGTGATTTATTGCAATTATTTGATTTTGTATAATTTTAATTAAATCAATCTATAAAATTTTAATTTTTTAATAATTACTACATTCAGTTCTTTTACTTCAGTAATAATAATAAATATATAAAATTAATTAGCTAATTACAGTAATTTATTTCTTTGAGTTAAAACTGAAATAAAATAAATATTTTTCTTCTACATAAGCTTTTTGAGTGAAGAACAATAGAGCTTTATATCAAATTATAAGGAACAACCTTAAAATAAATTTAGATCTCCAATAATCTGCTAAATTTGAAATTATTGAATTGAAAACTATTAAAATTTTAATTGCTCATTTGAATCTAACATTTGCTTGATCTCATCATTATTTGTATTAAAAAATTCTAGTAACTAAATGGATTACAGAAATAAATGATATTAAATTTTTGAAAAAATTTCATCTTATGCCTAAGAAAATACAGTAAATATAGAATGTTAAGTTGTTATATTTTCCACCTATATTTTCATAATTTCATTAAAAAGTTTTCATTTTCTATTTTTATCTCTTTTAAAAATATAAGACAAAATCTTCATGTGCCTTATTTAAATATTTCAAAAAATGATAAGGGCTTTTCCCATTAAAATAGAGAGATTTATACTTATGTAATATTATTTTAAAAATACATTAGAATAGGTTTCTACAATTATTTTATAGTGTGGCATTTATATTAAAAATAGTAATTATTTATGGACAAAAATAGCAGCAGTCAATATTAATGTTCCTAATAGACAGTTCAAAATAATAAACAAAACATTTTTAGAAAATAAATTTTAACATTAAACAAGTACCATTCTAATATATGAAATTACATATTGCAATGGAGAAAGAAAAACTGAAATAATGTTCTTGTTGAAGATTTAGTGTCAAACAACAATAAATGCAAACATTTGTTTTAGATGAAAAGCTACAACATTTATGTTTTTACCTGAAATTTTCAGTATTATTTTTGAATCTCGGTTATAACTATTGCATTTATTTATTTAAAATAGATAAATAAAAACATGTTTTGTTTTTAAATGTTTTGCTTGCTTTAATACTAAAAGGACAAGTCAACATGTAAGAATGTTTGATGGTCTACAAGGATATTTTTTTCTGTTTAATTTAAGCTTATTTTTGAAATTCATGTCTTGGACAAGTTCAATCAGTCAAAATCTTCACAGAACAAGATGATCATTTTAGAAAAATCTTAACATATGGATATGTTTGTTATAAGAATAATCTTAACATTCTTATTAAGCAAGATTATAATTTTCAATAACCTATAAATATTACATTAAAAATAATATATAATAAGCAAATAAATTGATATAAAATAGTTCAGATATATACAACCAGTGATTTAGGAAATGGGACTGGTGGAGCATTCTTTCAGATTTTTATACTATTAAATTTAACAAAAATTTGGATAGATTTTATACTGCTAAAGTGTTCATTACTGAACCATAATTGAATAAAAATAGAAACTAAATTATAAACTAAAAATAAAATGTGAAATTAGTATTATGTAGACTGTTTTTAAATTGTTTTATGTAATTTGTCAAGCACAGATCTCTGCATTTTTTTTGTTAGAAATGCTTACATTTTAGCATATTTTGTCAAAGATAGCTTTACATTGTGAAATGTTCATGAATTCAACTTTTAAGCATAACAAATTTAAAATTTTTTGCAACAGTATTTGTTGTTAACTAAAATTTTCATTTTGAATATTTATTTAATAGTTGTATTACCGTATTTACTTGCATATAAGATGAGGTTTTTATTCATTTTTCACTGCTTCAAAAACCTAGGTTGTCCTGTATGCATGAGTGAAGGATTTTTACATTCTTGCAATAATTTTTGTAACTGTATTTGCATTTTTTTACTGGATGCTCACCCTCTGGTGTTTAAAAACAAAAGTATTTATTTTATCTGGGTCGTTTGAATTGTTCTTGTGTATTATCAAGAGTAAAGATGAATAACAATAGGAAAAGCAAAGCTTTTGAATTAAATTTCAAATTGAAATTCCAAAATCACGCAGAAACCCAATATAAGTTTTAACCCATTCCTACATGAAAATGGATTATTATTCAGAAATAAGAATTCGGAGAAATTCGTAAGTGCAATTGATGGAGAGTGTATTCAACTGTTAAGAATTGGCAAAAAAGGTTCCCAATTCAGCTTTACATGAACAAATCGTGGATTTTACAAGATTTTAACTTAAAGTTTAAAATGTCATTAATTTTTGTGGGACAATGTGTGCATTTATGAGCATTTGATATTTTACTTGTGATTAAATGAAATAAAATTAGAATTGTATTAATAAATCTAATTTTTTTTATTGTGATCCTATGTCACACCTTGTGCTATATCCGAGATTGTCTTATACACGAGTAAATACGGTATTTGTTTATCTAACATGAAAAGAAATCTTTTATAAAAGGCTCCAATATTAGATAAATAATTTTGTGAAATTTGAACAGAATTATTGAAATGAGATTGTTACTCTAATTGGTAATTTTGTTTTTTGATGACTAAACAAATTGTTATTAATGAATAAATAAGAAAAATATATTTTAAGGATAATCTGATTGAACATTTTGAAAAATATCCAAGATTTTATACCAAACATTGTACAATCTAGTACAAAATCAAGTGATATCATCAAATTCAAACTATAGTTAACTAATGCAGATCAGTTAAAAATATCAAAAGTTGGGTGTTTCCTTGATATCAAATACAGTTTGTCTTTTCTACAAAAGAGAATTAATGCACATCATGTTTTTAAAAGGATAGTTTTGACACTAAATCTTCAGTTATAATTTAATATGTATGTATGCATATATATATATTTTTAGTTTTTAATAAAATAAATATTTTTCTTCTACATAAGCTTTTTGAGTGAAGAACAATAGAGCTTTATATCAAATTATAAGGAACAACCTTAAAATAAATTTAGATCTCCAATAATCTGCTAAATTTGAAATTATTGAATTGAAAACTATTAAAATTTTAATTGCTCATTTGAATCTAACATTTGCTTGATCTCATCATTATTTGTATTAAAAAATTCTAGTAACTAAATGGATTACAGAAATAAATGATATTAAATTTTTGAAAAAATTTCATCTTATGCCTAAGAAAATACAGTAAATATAGAATGTTAAGTTGTTATATTTTCCACCTATATTTTCATAATTTCATTAAAAAGTTTTCATTTTCTATTTTTATCTCTTTTAAAAATATAAGACAAAATCTTCATGTGCCTTATTTAAATATTTCAAAAAATGATAAGGGCTTTTCCCATTAAAATAGAGAGATTTATACTTATGTAATATTATTTTAAAAATACATTAGAATAGGTTTCTACAATTATTTTATAGTGTGGCATTTATATTAAAAATAGTAATTATTTATGGACAAAAATAGCAGCAGTCAATATTAATGTTCCTAATAGACAGTTCAAAATAATAAACAAAACATTTTTAGAAAATAAATTTTAACATTAAACAAGTACCATTCTAATATATGAAATTACATATTGCAATGGAGAAAGAAAAACTGAAATAATGTTCTTGTTGAAGATTTAGTGTCAAACAACAATAAATGCAAACATTTGTTTTAGATGAAAAGCTACAACATTTATGTTTTTACCTGAAATTTTCAGTATTATTTTTGAATCTCGGTTATAACTATTGCATTTATTTATTTAAAATAGATAAATAAAAACATGTTTTGTTTTTAAATGTTTTGCTTGCTTTAATACTAAAAGGACAAGTCAACATGTAAGAATGTTTGATGGTCTACAAGGATATTTTTTTCTGTTTAATTTAAGCTTATTTTTGAAATTCATGTCTTGGACAAGTTCAATCAGTCAAAATCTTCACAGAACAAGATGATCATTTTAGAAAAATCTTAACATATGGATATGTTTGTTATAAGAATAATTTGTAGAGATAATATTTTTTTCTCAGTGCCAAGCAATAGTAGTAGGGTTTTNGTGAAGTTATTATTATTATTATTATTATGCATTCAGTCATTTCTTCTGTAATGCAGTACAGTACATATGTTTATAAAAATTACTGCATTATGGAATTTTGTGCAATAAAAATAACAGGGCTTATAGGAAAATTAGAATTGGTGCAAAAAAAAATCGGTATAGGCTTTCAAAAACATTTTACTTCAAACTTCGCTTTACATTCCGGATCGATCCTCCGCTCAGGGATGAACTTGGGTCCTGATTGTAGAGCACATTTTACTTGGATGGAACTATATTGTCAGTATAGTTGTGGAAAGGTACTGGATATAGCCGAGGTTTCTCTCCAGCCAAATGAATTTACTGTTCATTTCTTTTTCTATCTTTCCACAGAATTTCTCCGTCTTAGCGTTAAACTTGTTAATCTGCAAGGTGTGGTCAAGGATTCAGATACAAACAGATGCGCATCATAAAGATCATCAGTTAATGCCGTTTGTCTCCTTTTATGTCTAATCAGTTTTAACAAAAACTGTCTTTCAAGTACTACTAGCGTAGATTGAAAAGACAGGAAAAACAAAATCTCAAGTATGGAATCTTGAAATGGTACGTTTTTCGTCTTTATATTACCGAACGATTTGGATTAAATATTTGCTACAATTGTAATTCTTGTTGAGATGCCAAAGTTCGGTGATACCCAAATGCACTTTCTCAAATGTTCTGCATTTCCACTGTGTCCAACGTATGCGGTAGTAATTGAAAGAAAATTTTGTCGAAACTGATTAGACATAAAAGAATCAAATGGCACTAGCTGAAGATCTCTAAGATGCATACCTGTTGTTTGCATATAGTTATGATCATAACTAGACAAGTTTAACGCTATGAGAGGAAGTCCGTGCGAAGATCGCAAAAGAATTGAAAAGTAAATTCATTTGCCTGGCGAGAAAGACTAATTTAAAGAAAACTAGGCCACATCATATAGTACCTTTCCACAACTACACTGACATTATGCTTGCACTCTGAGCTTTAATTCCATAATTATAATTATTTTAGTAATTAATGTTTGGTCTAATAAAATGATACTCACATGGCCAACCCTTTGGCAAGACGCGGACACTCGACCAACTCAGTGTTCAGTGGTTATATCCGCTCGGCCACTGGTGGGCTCTACACTTCGTAGTTTTTTTTTTAAACTCCGCCCTATGGGCACTAAGAGGGCCTCTTTTTGTAGGCCCATTATGGGTTCGGCCAGGCACACAATGGGGCGACCGGGTGGTGAGGGACGGGGACATATCCGGACGGACCAACCCCCGAAAAAATTCTGGGGATTATTCGACCCGTCAAGATTCGCTTCCGGGTCCCCAGAGCGGTAGGCTGCCACCTTGACTGCTTGGCTATCCGGCTGTCAAAGATAGGGGAAGGTCTGGTAGTATCGAACAAGCGTTGTTTCTAACATTTGCTGCAGGTGGCAAAATCTGTGAAGACACCAGCGGGTTGGGTGAAGAAAGAAAGTTCAGATTCAGCCATATTTAGTCAAGCAACAATGTTGTTGACACGTGGCAGAAAATTTGGGTTTTTTTAATAGCGTTTTGAGTGAACGAAGATAACTTCTGATTGTCATAGCTTGCCTGAAAGTGAAAATATATTTTTTTGTTTATTGTTCTTTAACTTGAAGGCCGTAAATCTCCTTAAGCTTATTAATACGCATGTGGTAACAGATATTCTGTTCCATGATATTTCTGGTTGTATCGGACAAAAATGTTGCGGTTTGTTTCGGACAGCGGTGTTATGGGTTGTATCGGAAACAGTTTAAGGTTGATAAGAATTATATTCTCACGGAATGTTTTTGTTTTGCGGGACAATATGGGTAAACTACGGCAGAAGAAAGGAGAGAAAGAAGAAAAAGAAAAGAAAGAATCTATGCAGCTAAGAGAAAACTTCTGGAGAAAATCGTCTAAATAAAGAGAGACAAAGAAAAAAGAAGCAAATAAATAAGTTCAAAAAAGAGAGAGAGAGAAGGAGGCCAAAAGACTCACTTTATCTTAGAAAAATGAATTTTAAGAGGTGTCTTTATAGAACAACGAAGTTTTGTATGGAATGTAATCTGGTCCAACTGAGCTGTAAAAATCTTTTATAATATAGGAGAAGGTCAGATGTCCGATACTATCCGATCTTTCCCTATTGGTTTCATCGTAGATACGCTATAATCGATGAAAACGGGTCAACTTCATTTTCTTAAATGGTAACCCACAATTTTGATTGCACATTGTTTGTTTTTGATATAAAATCATAAACATTTATCAGAAGTTGTGTGCGTTCGGAGTTTTACATGCCCTCATATGATGCACGCGTGAATCCGCGGATATCTATGAAGTTCATTGGGAAAATGCTGAAAAAGTTATTAAGTTACTATTATTATTATTAGGTGGAATCATTCTTTTTGTTCAAATAATAAGCTGATACAAAAACTACTGCCATAGTATGTTAAGCGGACGTCCGAGGCAATTAAAGCATCAGTCTACTATTCTGAGCGACCTGGGATTGAATCCGTCTAGCAATCATAGGGTTGTTTCACTAGTTATCTGTCCGGCTACGTATGGCCGAAATCAACGATGCGTTTTATTTTGGACACTTATATTGGCCCTGTGGGCACCTTTTTTTTGGCCCATCTTGGGTTCGGCCGGCTGGTGAGGGATGGGGCCGATCTATCACTGACAGCCTAATTTCGATTTCGGGTCCTCCAGAACGGTAGGCTGATGTTTTACGCCTTTGCCATCCGGAAAGTTAAACTCAATGGGTATGAAAAAATTTTGTTGATTCCACTGTGTGCTCTTGTATTCCTGTGGTGTGAAAAGAACAAATTATGAAGACTTTAAGATTTTCTTTTCTTTCTCCTAACTAAAAATATTAATTATCAATTTTCTGTCCTAGACATTTACACTATATTAAATTTTAAGTGGATTTAAGATTTAATATGAGTACATATAATTATTATTGAGACAGGACTTCTTACAATACTCTGGATTTTAGATAAATTAGATCTTATGAAGATAAAAATTACTTACTCTTCTTTCCAAAAATGTTATTTGTTCCTGATTAAATTTACAGTAATTCTTCAGGGTTTTGCTAAGTTTATCAAACTTAAAACAAAAGTAAATTTTAAATGTTAAATCGGAAATAAAATATATAATAATTCAAAATAATGGTATCAATCGAATAATTACTTTTGTATTAAGTTCAATGAAAGCTTTAGTGAAACTTCTATTATATTTTCTTACAAAAGCATTTAATGAATTTAACTACGTAATAAAAAGAAATTAAATTTATAAGTCGCATTTATCAAATAATAAATTATACAAATTATTTATTAATTTCAAGATAATTTCATATTAAATAAAGTGTATGAAGAAAAATTAAAACAAAGAAAATTTTGTTAAAAACGAACTTCGATTTTTGAACTGTTAATGTAAAAATAATAAATTTATTTATGAAAAAGTATTATTTACTCGTTTTTTCTTCAAAGATTCTTTTTTTGGCTTTCTTTTCTTCTTGTTTAATGGCTATAAATTTATAACACGTTTTAAAGAACATTTTAAAATAAAATCAATTCACTAATTGGTACCTACATAAGTTGCAATTGCAGATTTTGTACCGTAATTTCCTTTGAATAATCCACGAGTTCTCTGTCAATTTTAAATTGCAATTATGAGCTCACTCAACAGTTTTACCTTTGTCTAAATTTATTTTTAAAACTCGCGATACATGCAGTGGCGGCCCTAGCCAGGTTTTCAGGTGGTGCGAAATCTCATTGTGGCGCCCTCCCCCCGTAGGGACTAAACTGATAACGTACATTTTTCACATTATTAATAACTCAGACCTCCGAAATATTAGTATAGTAATACTATTAGTAATACTATGGATGAGAAACGATAACGACGGTAAATGGAGAGTTAACTTGACCCTTGTTATTCAGACATATCGCAAGCTGTTGACGTTTTTTTCTTCTCCCCTCCGTCGACGGAATCTCTTAATTTTAGGTTATGGAGATAAAGCACACGTTTCTGGATCATGTTTTATATTCTCACAACCCAGCTCACTCCTATGTAAAATCTATAGCATAGTACTAGATGGATGAGGAACAACAACAGTGAAAAAAACAATACTGTACAGTATTTCTTTCACAAGGCAATATTTATTTAATTTCTTTCATAAGGCAATATTCATAACAATATTTACTTAAACTGCTATGGCACAGACAACGCTCACATCACGCAAAAGACAAATTTACATCGTAAATTAATTTGAAATTGAAACAAATTCAGAAATAAAATAAAATAAAAAGCCTACATTGCCACCTTCCTCGCTTTTGCGCTTGCAAATGTTGTTATTAATTCAGAATAATTTAATTCCTGGGCAATACTATTTTCGGCAGATAAAATTGCTAGATCTGACAGTCTATCCCGACACATGGTTGAACGTAAATAAGTTTTAATAAGTTTTAATTTACTGAAACTTCGTTCTTTAGCGACAGTTACAGGTATGGTCAGAAAAATTCGAAGTGTTGTCCACACATTCGGGAATATATCCTATCAATTATTTTGTTTAATAAGTTGAAGAACTTTTATTGGTTCTGATGATTTAAGCTCTTTCAACAATGGATTCAGGTGCAAAAGTTCCTCAACCAATTCACAACCAAATATGTCGCATTTTTCTCCATCGGTTAAACTTATTTCTAAATTTGCACAAGCTTTTCCAATTTTGACTTTTCATGAATTGTTTTGATGTTGTATAAAAAGGACCATATATCATTAAATTTGGATAGTTGTGTAAATCGAGTGACCAACGCATTTTCAATTGAATCGATCATAGGGTAAAAGACGTTTATTTTAAACAATTCTTCAGGATCTGTTGGTGTATCACCTACGGCCTCGTATTTAAAATAATCTCTTCTTTCTTTGGGATCGGACTGACTTAAAAATAAGATCTATCCCAGCCTGAAAAGCAATTTCCCTAGCTGTTATTACAACAGACGAATAACGCCGGTACTCTTTTACAAATTCATAGCAGTTCTTCAGCAATTGTGTAGCGTTTGATAAATCCATAGTTTCAGACTGCGTAGCCTTGCTTACAATGTTTACTTGAAACAATATATCATACCAAGCCACTATTGTTACTATAAACTCAAATTGCTCCATGATCTGAATCAGGGACAAGGCCTCTGATGCTGCAACTGGGTCATTCGTTTCTTCCTGAAGATCCAGAAGGGCGTTACGAACTGAAGAGTATTGATAACGAACTGCAGCGAGGCTAGAAACTCTACTCTCCCAACGAGTTTCACAAACATTTTTCAGCGAAAGTTTTTCTATGTGCTTGGATATCACTTTTTGAACATTTAATTCACAGTACAATAATTTCGCGACAATATACGCGTACAGAAACTTAGAACTAATTCTTACTCACTAACTTATAACCAAAGAGGGTAGAAGATTATATAAGAAGGTATATAGAAAAAGGGAAAGATCAAAATACACGGAATTTTCTTTATTTCGTGAACACTGGATGAACACCACCTCGGATTCTGCAGATATACCAGACGTGATTTTTCTTTCCTTTCTTTATAATCGGGACTTCCGTCCAACGTTGACTCTGGAGTTTTCTATTTTTCTAACGTAACCAAAATGTCCTTCCTTCGGAATTATTCAGTCTCAAATAGCCCCTAGTCGCCTACTCGCGATCTGGAGCGCCCTTCTCTTCACGTCTTACTCCCACGAAGGTCCAGTCAAGACTAACCCGTTCTTTTTGTTTTATCGGCCCTCAGGCCTTAACTCTCCCGTTGTCTTATGTTCTTGGAACTGGTGATCCATTGTCTTCAGTTCTTGGGATTGGTGGTCTCACCCAAAGGGAAGAAAGGAAATGAGAAGAAAGTTCTAGAAAGACGGAGAACAAAAGGGAATAAGGAAATAAATATATAAATATTGGTTTCTTTAATCTCGGTATTTATTTTGGCGGGTAGGGTTAAGTAGTAATAAGGTGATCGGGTTTTATTTTTTTCGCAGACGATCTATCGTTGCATTTTCGGCGCCCCCACTATGACGGCGCCCGGTGCGGTCGCACCGTTCGCACCACTGTAGGGCCGCCCCTGTACATGGAACGTAAAGGATTTCCTTTAAGTACCATTTTTTGTCTATCATTTTGATTTTTCGGGAAATCACCAAAGAGGTAACTTTGGTGATAATCCCTTTTCTGTATTTTATTAAAATTGAATTATTTTAACATAAAATGTATGAATAAAGTAATAATCAAACTAATAACCTCTATAGGCATTTCTAAAATAATGTGAATGGTAGCAATTGTAAGAAACAAAATCACAATTGGTCGAACTGTGAAAAGCCATAGCCAAAGTTGCAAAAGATGTTGTAATATGCAAACTTTAGACAAATATAAATCATAAAACAGAGAACTCCATCCAATATCCACCCTTTCTATTACATTTTGATATGCTTTCTGCAAAATAAAAATTGAAAATTATTTTCATTTTATGACTTAAACTTGTTTTAAACATTTTATATTGTTTAAAATTTTTTAGTAATAACATTTTAGTTTCTTATAAGATTTGACATAACTTTCTTTTTAACATTAGGAATTTTACGTCTTCAAAATGCCACAAACAAATTTTAGAGAAAAGTGAAAATTTGGACTGAAAAATGGGGAATGACCTCTATGCCGTAAAGAGAATAAAATCGATTTACTACAGCGATCGATAGGATTTTGACTCGTCCGATTCGTAAACGCAAAATATGTGACGAGACGATCAAACACCAATCAGAAAGTTGATTCACTTTAACAAACAAGTATAAATTTTTAGTAATGAAAATCGAAAGAAATGCGGCAGTTGTGCTTGTAGTGTAGTGATTATCACATCCGCCTAACACGCGGAAGGTCCCAGGTTCGATCCCTGGCAGGCACATGGTTTTTCCCCTTTTGTCGCAGTTTTTCGTGTAAATATCCTTAATTAATCATTATTATCAAAACATCATTTAATAAGTTTAAATCAAACTGCATTTGAATTTAGTAATATTTCTACATATACAGGTAACATATATATTAATTAATAGGTGTTTAAATGTGTAATTCTCGCATTTAATTAAAGAACTATTTAATCATTCTTATCAAAACGTCATTTAATAAGCTGTGAACTGAATTTTTGTAAATAAACTAATGGCAATCTATGCTGAAAGTACGAGAATGGCCGTTTTCCATCGGTGTAATTAGTTTGTGCACAGCATTTATAAGACGAGCGTCTCGCCCCTGAAATGATCAGAAAATTGACAAAGCTTACTAATTTAGATTTACTAAATTTTAAAATAAGTAAACTAAGAATTAAATTTTATTTTAAAATTACGACTGTGAATTAACTGCATGATTTATTTGCCTGGTGATTTTTGTGTCACTGTAAATAATAGTTAATTAACCAGATTATTTCGTTTTTATTAAAAACGAAATAATCTGGTTAATTAACTATTATTATAACAAAAATCGATATACTCGTATAAACATTTGACACTGATTACCCAGTTTGTGACCCCTGCTCTAGAGGTACTGTACAGTACATCTAACAGTACTGTATAGTCGCAAACTGGCTGTCCGCGGGCCGGATAAGGCCCGTTAAGGCTTCATATCTGATTCGCCGCCTTGATAAATTCTTTTCTAAAAATCAATATTTCTAACATCTTGCAAGGATTAAAACAGAAAATTTAAACGTCTAACTGCTTACCTACGTCATAAAGGCCTGGCAATAAAAGAGCCTTTGTTGGTCTTTTTTTAAATTACAGTATTTTTTGATTTATCGAATAATAACGAATACGGCCCGCGACTGATATAGCCTACATCTATTTGATTGGCCCTTTGCTGCGTTTGAGTTTGAGAGCTTTGATCAAGCGTATGACTTGTGATGTCACGTATACTGAATTCGATGCAAGTTAGATGGCACTGATTGCAGGAAAGGGTTATATAGTAATAAAACAAACGTCAGGAAAAGGATTTAGCCCATTCCTGATATTGGGATTCTCAATTCGACCTGTAGAAATTTTGTTTTATTTTTATTTTACGATTAACAATTTATTTTAATTGATTGAGCATCTAAAGTTCGGACATGTCTTTGTGTCCTAACTTTTAATTAGGCAAGCAATCATTTCTTAAATAGTTCTTTAAATGCGAGAATTACATATTTATACACCTGTTAATTACTATGTGTAGAAATAATACTAAATTCAAATGCAGTTTGATTTAAACTTATTAAATGATGTTTTGATAAGAATGATTAAGGATATTTACATGAAAAACTTTTTTAAAAAACTGCGACAGAAGCGGGGAAAACCATGTGCCTGCCAGGGATCGAACCTGAGACCTTCCGCGTGTTAGGCGGATGTGATAACCACTACACTATAAGCACAACTGCCGCGTTTCCTTCGATTTTCATTACTAAAAATTTATACTTGTTTGTTAAAGTGAATCAACTTTCTGATTAGTGTTTGATCGTCTCGTCGCATATTTTGCGTGTACGAATCGGACGAGTCAAAATGCTATCGATCGCTGTAGTAAATCAATTTATTCTCTTTACGGTGTAAAGATCATTCCCCATTTTACGTCACAGATAATGACCGGTAAATTTGTTTCTGATCTACAAATTAGAATATAAATAAATTATTACAAAAGTTGCTTCTAGCTCTTGGTATAATTAAATTAATTAAATTATCAACAAACGTAAAACCGATAATAGTAAGGGCTTATTACACCAATGATAATGAACACAAACGCCAGGAATCAAAGTAAAAACATTTAATAAAAGCAAAAAAAAAAAGTATATAGAATAAAAATGACTACATAAGTAGGGAAAACGAAAAACCCAAAATGCATTTCGGACTATTTTCTAACAGAAAACAGCCCCTCATCAATTGGATTAATTAAAGGTTTTAATATATTTAAAAGTATACAAGGTAAAGATAAACTTAAAACTATGCCTAAAACTATACAATATAAAGATGAAAACGCCGCTATAAATGTATGATTAAGCATTGTCAATGTAGACAGGTGTGATAAATCTTCATAACGCTGAAGGGTGGCGTGACGTATAGGGTGCCGATACAAAACAGTTATAGGTTAGCCAATTATTGGTTTACAGTTATGAATTAATGTTTATTACATTACCATTATATACCAAAAATTATCAGATTATATACATACCAAAAATAGTAAGACGACAGAGTTACAGGTTTAGTCATTACAACAAAGCGCCGGAAGCAGTTGTAAAGGAGGTGTGTAACAGTCCACATCTGGTGCACAAGTGGTGACAACATATGATACAATTACAAGTTTTCTACAGTTTTAACAAGTTAGAGTCGTGACATCACAAAGATATTTTGTTTTTAAAAAATATGATTATGCTATCATTCGTTAATTTTGATACCCGAATTATCATTAATTCTGTTAACATTACTGTATTAATTTTTAAATCTCAAGATGTTCAAAATATTTACGTTTATAGGTGTTAGTTTCGAATTTTAGTGCTTTTATCGTACTTTTATCAATTTCGCAACCATATAGATTGCAGTGTTTAGCAACTGCAGAGTATTCAGAATTGAATTTGATGTCGCTTATGTGTTATTTTATACGAATTTCGAGGCATCTTTTTATTTCACCGACATAGGTTATANTACTGGCTTCGCATCAGGAGATGGCCTATGTTGTAAATGAGTGGGAGGGTTAGCGAGGTCGAGATAGGGTGTTGGTCGTACTCGAGGATGCTACATATTTAAACATAAGAATAATATATTTATTTAACAACTAAGATTATACAAAACGGGAGTACAAAAACGTAAGATACAATAATGATATGGAAAATAGACAGTTAGTAGCGTGACATTTTGATTCGGTCTCATGGATATGTCATTTGTGGCCCGGCCTGAGTTAGGTATCTATCTACCTTTTTTAAAACAGGGACCAAACAGATGTTAGTAATATTTAAGACCGTTCTAATTTTCTCATATTTTTGACATACGTAAGTTGAAAAATCTTTTTTGTACTATTGTTATTAACGGGAATAACGATATGGACATTGGAGTTATGATTACACCAATTACGATTTACCAATTACCAGTTATGATTACACCAATTATGATTTTAGCCATGTGTCTAGTGCTATGCTATAATCGATGAAAACGGGTCAACTTCATTTTCTTAAATGGTAACCCACAATTTTGATTGCACATTGTTTGTTTTTGATATAAAATCATAAACANTACACCAAGATTACACCAATTACGATTTACCAATTACCAGTTATGATTACACCAATTATGATTTTAGCCATTTGTCTAGTGCTTTTGGGTAATTATTTAATAAGAAGGTCTTAATAACGTCTGTGATCTCAATATTCTTTTTATAATCAGAAGTACAGTAGTTCTATTAAATATCTTTTTGACTAAATTGACAAAAATATTTCTTTTTATAAACAAAGAGATATGCAAGTGGTAGTCCTTGTATAGAGGAGAAGGTGGTATTATGGAACACTGCGGGTATTATGGAACCACCTAATTTCGAACTGATAATAAAGGCAAACTGTAGCGGAATGTGGCTTAACTGAACTAGGCAGATATCCATAGCAAGGGGAAAACCCGTTTTACTTCAGTTAAACGGTTGTCCATATTTAATCAGCAAATTTGTTATTTTCAAAATTTGCAAGTTTTGGATGCTAAGTGAATTTAATTATTTTTAAAATATAAATCGTGTAGTTGTAGGTTCACTGGTGCATGTATTCCGTTCCAGAGACTTAGGGTACGTATTAATTTGTGTGATGTTCACGTTTTTTAAATTTTGGTCTCGGCAGACATAAGTTAATTCAAGATGGCGATGCGTGAAATATGGACCCCATTGGTGCTTTTACAGTAATATGGAACTCAACTCCTCCGAACTTTCTATTTGCAAACAGACATTCCTCCAGAGCAATTTGTGAAAAAGACACTAGGTAGAAAGTCANGTCATTTTTATTCTACATCCTCTTTTTTTTTGCTTTTATTAAAGGTTTTTACTTTGATTCCTGAGCGTTTGTGCAATGATAATGGTATCATTGGTGTAATATGCCCTTACTATTATCGATTTTACGTTTGTGGATAATTTAATTAATTTAGAATATAAATGTTTTAAAATCATAAAGAAGTTCGGAAGTGATGGAGTAAGCTCGGGCCTTTATATATTCTATTTATATGTTAGGAGATAATTTTGATTCATTTTGATTTTTCTGTCGGCCAAGCCCACAATGGATTCGGCCGTCCCATTGTGGGCCTGGCCGAACCCATAATGAGCTTGCTAAACGAGGCCCTCTTAGTGCCCACAGGGTAGAAAGAGTTAAAAAAAAAGTAAAAAAACACGAAATAAAATTTACCGAATTCTTCATAGAAGTCCAAAATTCTGTTTTTTTATACTGTTTTAGATTTTTCGAGTCCAAATAAGAATTATAATCTAAATTAAAGTTATATTTTAATTAATATAAAACAGAAATGATAAAATCGATTAATCAATTCACAGTATTACCTTTTCCTTTGAAAAACAAGAAGTAAACAGATATAGTTGCAGCTATTAGAAATAAATAAACTAAGTTCTTGTACATGATTTATTTTATATTCTAAAAGATTTCATAATTAAATAAATTCTGTTAAAATTTAAAAAAATCGAACAAACAGTAAAACTAGTATTAAATTTTTATATTTGAAATTTTTTTAAATTTCAGTTTATTTTTATGATATTATTTATGTATTTGAAAAATATATTATTACAATAATAATTGATTTAACGTCTATGTTTTAAATTTAATAAATTAAATAAAATTTAATTAATTATTATTATTTTAAAGTCTCTCGTCAGAGGGCATTGCTTTTCTTTTTCGGCATGGACAAGAAACGTAAACGGTCGAAGCAGCTATTGGCAGTTGAACATTCTGTTACGGGTATGCTTTTTCTAATATGAAAGATATAGAATATATTTAAGGCTGAACATATTAACATTTTTTAAAATAAGTTGGAGTTATAAGCTTAAGAGATTCAAGTGGGTAATTATTTATAAACGTACCATCATTTCGACGCCATGTTTGAAGTTAGAAGCACGTGTGTTTATAACATTCACTGTTGTCAATATATCTCTCTGCCTACAGTATTAAAAAGAAAAAGTGGATTTTGTTTAATACACATATCGGGTGTTGTATTAACAAACGCAAATGAATTGTGTGAACAGTGATATTAACTGTATCGCACTCCTTAATCGCTCATATTTCGGTACTGCGCAAGTGCCCTTATTTCAAACATGGCATCAAAATGATGGCATTGGATTCTTTAAACATAAAGCACCATTTATTTGTTATAAAGAAAGATAATTTCTCGAGTCTCCATTATTTTTTGTCTGCCGTAAGCACAAATGACTATCTATTACATATGTACTATATATTTTATTATTAGTCATTATTAAAACTGTGAGAACCGAGGGGGTAGAGTCGTGAGCTGGACCCTTCTTACCGGCTTCGCATCAGGAGATGGCCTATGTTGTAAATGAGTGGGAGGGTTAGCGAGGTCGAGATAGGGTGTTGGTCGTACTCGAGGATGCTACATATTTAAACATAAGAATAATATATTTATTTAACAACTAAGATTATACAAAACGGGAGTACAAAAACGTAAGATACAATAATGATATGGAAAATAGACAGTTAGTAGCGTGACATTTTGATTCGGTCTCATGGATATGTCATTTGTGGCCCAACCTGAGTTAGGTATCTATCTACCTTTTTTAAAAGCCATCCTGACGGAGAGAATTTACTATTTCAAACAAGTACCTTTTTCCGAAATGGGGAGGAGAGGTCCGAATGTAGTTCCAGCCGGGAGACTTTCTTTCGACAATCGCCCCGAGGTGCAGGTATGATCCCCTTTTATACTATTCCCGAAGGGGAGCTGGCCAGGGGGATTCTGATGCAAAGGTGGTCTAAGTTTGATCTGTGTCTGGGTGTTGTTTCTGCTAATTGTTAGAAATTGAACTTTTTGACAAATTTGTTACCTTTTTCTATCTGGTAGTGTGACTCATTTTACTCATAAAACTGATAACAACTGTCAAACATACTAAATGAATTGATGGTAGTGACTAAGGTTAGGGTTTGGGATTGCAACCTTAGTAATAATTGTTAAATTGGAGAGATAGTCGATTGGTCTTATCTATCAAGAAATCAAATGAAATAGGATGTGTGTGGGTTTTCCCACTTGGTTAATTTTTCTCTAGTTGACCTTTTTTCCCTAGAATCTGATGGTAATATTACTTTAATTAATTAATTTTCTTGTAACTTGACAGAAAGATATCAAATTGCTTCTGAAAATGATAATGTAATTAGAATTTATCTTTATTTTTCCATTGGGAATTGTGCTTTTAAGTTTGTGTGAAATCCGGAATTTTTGTCGACTATTTGTCGATCAATTGTCCTGTATTTGATTAAAATCCAATTAAATTTTCCTTTAACTTAAAGTGGAACCTAACGGGAAAAAAAAACTTTTCGTTTATGTTCGACATAAACATCCGTTCAATTCGAAACTAATCCCACATTCCAACGCTAAAGTTTATAGTTAACATGGGCCCGGGAACAACTCTGACCCATCTGCATACCTTTTACCTCACAACAATTGGTCACATGACCATTCTCCCACGCCGAACTTATAAAAACCCCTTCCTTCCCCTTCTCGGGGGAGTCGTTCATTCGCCGTCACTTTTACAACTGTGTCCTATGAATATTGTGTCCTATTAATATACTGTGTCCTATACGATATTGTGTCCTGAAGAAAAATTATTATCCTAATCCTACCAACCCGTTGGATATCAAAACCTTTTTCCTTAAGAATATTAAAAGACATAAAGAGGTATGGAACTTATTTTTGTGAACTCTCTCTCGGTCCTTCGCGGTTCAGGGATTCAGATTTTCCCTTTTGAAATTGGTTATTGTAATCTCTATGTAGCTAATAAATCGTTGTTATCCTGTTAAAGTGGTGTCATCTTTACTCGTATATCGCCGGTCATCTTACCGACGCACTCCTCCCTCCTCCACTCGACCCGAAACATTTAATCCCGTTACTGCGGGAACGGTAAAATTTTAATCCATCCTGACCAGTGAGAAGGGTTTAACGACCTGTTGCCGGATCGGGAGACCTACATCCTCCCCGGCGGTTCACATATGTAAAGGTAATTAGGAAGTTTTGTTTTATGATTGATACAAGACATTCAAATAAATATATATGTAAAACTTGCATCTTTAATTATCAGCCAATACATTTAATTATTTGATATCATATTACAATTGTTAAGATATATTTTGTCATTGATGTAATTTCAATTAATTTAATCTTTGACAGATGCAGAACATGTGTCTAACCTAATATTTGAAAAGAAAGCACCTATAATCAAACCAATTCAAAGCTCAGGTTTGTAATTAAAGACTAGTTAAATTTGAATATTTAAATAAATAAGTCTTGATAAATCTGGTTAAATTTCTAATTATTTCAGTATTATCCAAAGTACAAAAGTTCCTCCCACAACTGGAAGCTGCTGAAAAACATCTTAAGACTCTATCTCCAGAAGATTACAATATAGAATGCATAGCTGAAGATTCTACATTCATTGAAATGGTTAATATCAATAGATAAAATGATTTGTGTGTTGCATTCATGTTACATTAATCTGATATTGAATCTAATTTTTGACATTTGAATAATTTTTAATAAAATTCTTATTTTTATAATAGAATGTCGCATTATTGCCAGATGAAAGTGAAAGTGAAGATTCAGATATTGAAAATGGACAGATAAAGATTAAAAAATTGTCAAAAAATCCTCAAATATCAGTTGTAAATAATAAGGAAAACAATAGGATAAATGATGTAAAATCCTAGATTATGTAAATACAGGTTTTTATATTAAAATGCTAACAATGAATATTTTTATTATTTGTTCAAAAATCATACATGTACCGTACAAACTGAAAATTTTATATAAACTGATTATTATTGTTAAGCCAAAATGCAAAAATTTAATTTAAATAATAAATTTAAGTCAATAACTATTAATAACTCTAGCAGACAGTAATCACACTACAATAATAATTGATTTAACGTCTATGTTTTAAATTTAATAAATTAAATAAAATTTAATTAATTATTATTATTTTAAAGTCTCTCGTCAGAGGGCATTGCTTTTCTTTTTCGGCATGGACAAGAAACGTAAACGGTCGAAGCAGCTATTGGCAGTTGAACATTCTGTTACGGGTATGCTTTTTCTAATATGAAAGATATAGAATATATTTAAGGCTGAACATATTAACATTTTTTAAAATAAGTTGGAGTTATAAGCTTAAGAGATTCAAGTGGGTAATTATTTATAAACGTACCATCATTTCGACGCCATGTTTGAAGTTAGAAGCACGTGTGTTTATAACATTCACTGTTGTCAATATCTCTCTCTGCCTACAGTATTAAAAAGAAAAAGTGGATTTTGTTTAATACACATATCGGGTGTTGTATTAACAAACGCAAATGAATTGTGTGAACAGTGATATTAACTGTATCGCACTCCTTAATCGCTCATATTTCGGTACTGCGCAAGTGCCCTTATTTCAAACATGGCATCAAAATGATGGCATTGGATTCTTTAAACATAAAGCACCATTTATTTGTTATAAAGAAAGATAATTTCTCGAGTCCCCATTATTTTTTGTCTGCCGTAAGCACAAATGACTATCTATTACATATGTACTATATATTTTATTATTAGTCATTATTAAAACTGTGAGAACCGAGGGGGTAGAGTCGTGAGCTGGACCCTTCTTACCGGCTTCGCATCAGGAGATGGCCTATGTTGTAAATGAGTGGGAGGGTTAGCGAGGTCGAGATAGGGTGTTGGTCGTACTCGAGGATGCTACATATTTAAACATAAGAATAATATATTTATTTAACAACTAAGATTATACAAAACGGGAGTACAAAAACGTAAGATACAATAATGATATGGAAAATAGACAGTTAGTAGCGTGACATTTTGATTCGGTCTCATGGATATGTCATTTGTGGCCCAACCTGAGTTAGGTATCTATCTACCTTTTTTAAAAGCCATCCTGACGGAGAGAATTTACTATTTCAAACAAGTACCTTTTTCCGAAATGGGGAGGAGAGGTCCGAATGTAGTTCCAGCCGGGAGACTTTCTTTCGACAATCGCCCCGAGGTGCAGGTATGATCCCCTTTTATACTATTCCCGAAGGGGAGCTGGCCAGGGGGATTCTGATGCAAAGGTGGTCTAAGTTTGATCTGTGTCTGGGTGTTGTTTCTGCTAATTGTTAGAAATTGAACTTTTTGACAAATTTGTTACCTTTTTCTATCTGGTAGTGTGACTCATTTTACTCATAAAACTGATAACAACTGTCAAACATACTAAATGAATTGATGGTAGTGACTAAGGTTAGGGTTTGGGATTGCAACCTTAGTAATAATTGTTAAATTGGAGAGATAGTCGATTGGTCTTATCTATCAAGAAATCAAATGAAATAGGATGTGTGTGGGTTTTCCCACTTGGTTAATTTTTCTCTAGTTGACCTTTTTTCCCTAGAATCTGATGGTAATATTACTTTAATTAATTAATTTTCTTGTAACTTGACAGAAAGATATCAAATTGCTTCTGAAAATGATAATGTAATTAGAATTTATCTTTATTTTTCCATTGGGAATTGTGCTTTTAAGTTTGTGTGAAATCCGGAATTTTTGTCGACTATTTGTCGATCAATTGTCCTGTATTTGATTAAAATCCAATTAAATTTTCCTTTAACTTAAAGTGGAACCTAACGGGAAAAAAAAACTTTTCGTTTATGTTCGACATAAACATCCGTTCAATTCGAAACTAATCCCACATTCCAACGCTAAAGTTTATAGTTAACATGGGCCCGGGAACAACTCTGACCCATCTGCATACCTTTTACCTCACAACAATTGGTCACATGACCATTCTCCCACGCCGAACTTATAAAAACCCCTTCCTTCCCCTTCTCGGGGGAGTCGTTCATTAGCCGTCACTATTACAACTGTGTCCTATTATAAACTATATTATTGTGTCCTCTTGGAAAAGGATTATCCTCATCATACCACATCGTGGGATATCAGAACCTTTTTCCTAAAAGAAAAATTATTCAAAGACATAAAGAGGTATGGACCTTATTTTTGTGAACTCTCTCTCGGTCCTTCGCGGTTCAGGGATTCAGATTTTCCCTTTTGAAATTGGTTATTGTAATCTCTATGTAGCTAATAAATCGTTGTTATCCTGTTAAAGTGGTGTCATCTTTACTCGTATATCGCCGGTCATCTTACCGACGCACTCCTCCCTCCTCCACTCGACCCGAAACATTTAATCCCGTTACTGCGGGAACGGTAAAATTTTAATCCATCCTGACCAGTGAGAAGGGTTTAACGACCTGTTGCCGGATCGGGAGACCTACATCCTCCCCGGCGGTTCACATATGTAAAGGTAATTAGGAAGTTTTGTTTTATGATTGATACAAGACATTCAAATAAATATATATGTAAAACTTGCATCTTTAATTATCAGCCAATACATTTAATTATTTGATATCATATTACAATTGTTAAGATATATTTTGTCATTGATGTAATTTCAATTAATTTAATCTTTGACAGATGCAGAACATGTGTCTAACCTAATATTTGAAAAGAAAGCACCTATAATCAAACCAATTCAAAGCTCAGGTTTGTAATTAAAGACTAGTTAAATTTGAATATTTAAATAAATAAGTCTTGATAAATCTGGTTAAATTTCTAATTATTTCAGTATTATCCAAAGTACAAAAGTTCCTCCCACAACTGGAAGCTGCTGAAAAACATCTTAAGACTCTATCTCCAGAAGATTACAATATAGAATGCATAGCTGAAGATTCTACATTCATTGAAATGGTTAATATCAATAGATAAAATGATTTGTGTGTTGCATTCATGTTACATTAATCTGATATTGAATCTAATTTTTGACATTTGAATAATTTTTAATAAAATTCTTATTTTTATAATAGAATGTCGCATTATTGCCAGATGAAAGTGAAAGTGAAGATTCAGATATTGAAAATGGACAGATAAAGATTAAAAAATTGTCAAAAAATCCTCAAATATCAGTTGTAAATAATAAGGAAAACAATAGGATAAATGATGTAAAATCCTAGATTATGTAAATACAGGTTTTTATATTAAAATGCTAACAATGAATATTTTTATTATTTGTTCAAAAATCATACATGTACCGTACAAACTGAAAATTTTATATAAACTGATTATTATTGTTAAGCCAAAATGCAAAAATTTAATTTAAATAATAAATTTAAGTCAATAACTATTAATAACTCTAGCAGACAGTAATCACACACCTTTAAACTTACACTCTGAGCACCTGGACCATAGCTTAACACACACATAACATAGATGCCATTAAACAGTAATGCCTATGACCTAGCTCAAGGACTTGACAAAACTGTGTCAAACTACTGGCTGACTAGAGCTGCCTGTTTGGGGGAGAGGAGTTTATGGCTGCCATTCAAGATCAGGTCATAAACACTAAAAACCACAGAAAACACCTGAAAGATACATCACTCCCAAATGACTCTTGCAGAAAATGCCACATTCTGCCAGAAACAACACAACATATAAATTCTGGTTGCAAGCTCAATGCAGACTATTTACATAGGCATAATCAAATAGCAAATATAATACATCAAAAGCTTGCACACAAACAGATTATTAAACGTTCGGGTATCATACTACATGTACTCCACAGGCAGTATTCAAAAATGACAGACAAAATATACAACAACAAAGCCAAAATCACAGATAAAACAATCCATCACAAATAGACCTGACAACTCATTGACAAATTCAGTAAGATCACATAACAAATCTCTGTTCCAAACTCAATATAAAAAATGCTCTCACTGAAAAAGTCAGCAAGTATACCACTTGCTCAAGAAATAAGACAGATGTGGAGGATGGATAAGGTATTTATTGTACTGTACCTGTTGTCCTCTCTTCTACTGGTGTTATACCACATACACTACATAAAAGTCTAGAAACAACCTTAATAAAAACATATACATGGCACTACAGAAAGCTGCAATATTGAATACACATGAAATTAAATTTCTAGATGACACTCATGCCAATAACATAGCTTAATGTTAAACTTGTTTGGGTAGTATGTTTTGTTTGACTTTAGTCTGGCTTGGCACCAGTATCAGCTGAGCATGATATTCACAACATTATCAATTAATAATATAGGTAAAAATTAAATTATTATGTTAATATTTTAAACATTAAATATGTCCTCTTAATTGATTCTTCTATAAATCTTTGCTCTGGTAGTTTTTTTCTGTAAGAGTGCTCCTCAATCTAATTTTTCAAAAAATGTCATGGGTGTAATGGTCTAAAGTCTGTATGTGATAACCACTAAAATAACTGGAATATAACAGTAATTGAAAACTAATTAATAAAAAAGATGATAAGCAAGATGGTAGATATATAGCATTTCTTTTCCCTCCTTTCATTCTCATATTATCATCATTGCACTATAGCAGGGGTGGCCAAACCGTGGCGCATGCGCCAAACTTGGCGCATTGGACGATTACAAGTGGCGCTTTAGTCAGTTCTGAGCAACATTGCCAGATTTGGCTTCTTTGCAATTAAGAATATTACATAGAAAATTAATTTTTTATAGTCTGTCTTGGCAAGTTCATTTGTTGCACAATTCGTTGCAATCAACTTTACAGATAAAATGAGTGTTCTCCACATAGTAAATTACAGTGTATGCATGTATGTTTATTTTCGATCAGTGCATAGGCGTCTAAATGACAGTGCTACCGTCCGGACAGTCCACGAGTATGCCACTAATGTCAAATGGGACTATTTTGTACGGGTAACTACACCACCACCACATTTTTTATTAATTTTTTTTCACACAACTGAATTTTGATCTTTTAAATTGAAATACCTGATTAAAGGGTGGCCGAAATTTTTCTCCGCCCCGGGCGGCTAACACCCACGGTACGCCACTGCGCATCTGAACTCGTCTATCAAAAAATTGGCGCATGGTATGCAAAAGGTTGGCCACCCCTGCACTATAGTATCAAAGGAGAAAAGAAACTGGTAAAATAATTAGTTGCTGGTAATTAAGCTATTTTTCATGCAAGATAAAAACTGTGTGTAATATAATAAACATTTTTCATGTTAAGAAGAATAATATTTGATGTTTTTAACACATTAGATATTGTTAAAACAGTATTTACTTTTTAATTCAGTTAGTAGTTATGGTTAAACACTATTTCAACTGTTTATCTTTAAAAAATACCATCAACTTATTTTAGGAATCTTTCCTCAAAGTAGGTTAATTTTTTGTTTTGTGTCATGAAAGTATGAGCAAGTTGAGGATTCAAAGCTAAGCTCTAAACTTAATGTGTAAGAAAGTTTATTTTACCATATAATGAGTGGAGTCTAAAGCAACTGTTATAACATGAAATGTCAGCAAGGATGTGTTGTATCACCTTGAAACAGTTATTTGCAGTTGCAAGAGTCCTTATTTTAATTTATGCTAGGAGCAACATGAACATGCAGATGATGTGATAAGGATTAGGTTCATTTGAATGCTTCAACACATTTCTATCAAATGACACCTTCAACATGTTCATGTTGCTATACACACAATTTGACAATTGAGACTAAGAGCACAGTGGTCTAGTCTTTACTATTGGTAATATCAGTTTTGGTATCCAATAGCAATAGAAAGTTTACAATGCATATTCAAACATCAAACTGCATGTAAGCACTTAAGAGACTAACTCTTGCTGCTGACTGATGCAGTTTTGTCATGACTTTTGTTACAATGACATGCAGTATTTTGTATTATTTGGATGTTATATTGTTTATTGGATGTAAGAAACACTTTAGAGATTCTATTTTATTGCTTTATTTTGTACTTTCCTGGGATACATTTAATTATAATTATTTCTCATCATTTAAATCCTTGGATAAGTGCCAGTGACTCAATTTTGCATCACTTATAATTCTATAAAGATTGCTCAAAATGAAAAATTTTTGTTCTTAATTTGTTATAATAGTGATATACTTTATGAAAAAAATGAATCGTCATGTTTTGTGCAACTTCTTTTTTCAATGGCAGCAGCTAAAACAGTAGCACTAAATTTTGTGACCATGTTCAGCAATGTATTCATATTTATTGAACTACAGTAGAGCATTGATTATCCGAATATTGATCAACCAAAACATCGTTAACCGAAAGCATTCCAGTTGGCAAATTTAAATTTCTGCTAGTGCTGTGGCACTGCAATATTTGGCTGTCTTGGGCTACTCCAATATTATTTATGGACGTGCCAGGATTTAAACAAATTTCAACATGGGATAGATTAATATAATAAGGATTAGGTTCATTTGAATGCTTCAACACATTTCTATCAAATGACACCCTCAACATGTTCATGTTGCTATATACACAATTTGACAATTGAGACTAAGAGCACAGTGGTCTAGTCTTTACTATTGGTAATATCAAAGTTTTGGTATCCAATAGTTTTGTACATAATCAGTTATGCAAAAAATCAGTTATCTGAACAACCCCAGTCCTGAATTGTTTCGGATAATCAATGCTCTACTGCAGTGTTCCGCAACCGGTGTGCCATCACAAGGTGAAAGGTGCAACTTGAACTTTTATATATTCTATTAATTTCAAGTTTTATTTATATATTTTTATTGCAGTTGTTGTGTTTCTTATGCTTGTATTTTATCACTGATGAAATAAAATGATGTTAAAGCAATAAACACATATGTCGTCCCAGTACTTACTTATTCTTTTGGAGTTATACATTGGACTCACAAAGATCTTGAGCAACTCCAAATGAAAACAAGAACAATGCTTACTAAGCATAAACAATGTCATCTTAAATCTGCCATAGAAAGATTAACCCTTCCACGTAAAGATGGTGGACGTGGTCTGATTGATATAGTAAACCTTCACTACAAGAGCACTGCGAGAGTTTTTCTACAAAAGCAAGAAACATCACAGTTACATAAAGCAATAAGTCTAGCAGACTCAAATAAAATCACCATTAAACTTACATTTGCATCATATGGATAAGACAGAACATATAAAATGCATAGACACTTAAGCAATCGTGGGTTCAAAAAACACTCTATGGCAGACATCCCTATGACCTACCCCAGGATTTTGTTGACAAAACTGCGTCAAATAGCTGGTTAGCTCGGGGATGCCTCTTTTGGGAGACAGAAGGATTTATGATTGCCATACAGGATCAGGTCATAAATACTAAAAACTACACAAAACACACTGAAAGATACAACACTCACAAATGACACTTGCAGAAAATGTCACATCATGCCAGAAACTATGTAACACATCACTTATGGTTGCAAACTCTTGGTACAGACATAATTTACATCGACATAATCAAGTAGCAAATACATGAAGAGCTTGCAAAGAAACACAAATTATTAGACATCCATGAACCATACTACAAATATGTTCAACAGACAGTATTGGAAAACAACACGCACAAACTGCACTACGACAGTCATAATCACAGATAAAACAATTTACCATAACAGACCAGACATCACACTCATTGACAAACACAATAAAAATCACATACATTATAGATATATCCGTTCCAAACACTCACAACATACAAAACACATGAAGTGAAAAAATCAGCAAGTACATGGAACTTGCCCAGGAAATAAGGAATCTTTGGAGGATGGATAGGGGTGCTTATTGAACTTTTTGTTCTCTCCTCTACAGGTATCATACCACAAACATTACACAAAAGCCTGGGAACATTAAAATTGAATAAAAACACATACATCACACTACAGAAGGCCTCTATATTGAATACATGTCATATTGTTAGGAAATTCCTGAATATAGACACACAATGACATGCTTATTTAATTTTTGTCTTTTTTTTTTTTGAAATTACTATGCCTTGACTCTGGTCTGGCATAGTACACAGCCATCGGTGTCCACCTAGTGTTTATGGCATTATGAAATTCTATTAATAGTATCATATCATATGTTATTGAGAGGAATAACATTTTGGTGTGCCGTGTTGAGTCATAGGTGTGCCGCGAGTAGAAAAAGGTTGCGGAACACTGCTCTACTCTATTAACTTAAATTATTCAAATTGGCTTTAAATAAATAAAGTTTGAGCTAAGTTAAAAATAGCCGTTTTTTTGTAAAATTATTTTTATATTGCTGGGCAGTACATCTTTTTTATAGGAACAATTTCCTTCTTAATCCACAGTTCTATTATGACTGTTTTGCAGTTGGAAAATAGAGTTAATGAAAACATTAAATTTCAATTACTTTTGAATGAATATTTTACATGCACATAATCTATTTTCAAAGAGAGCATAAAATAATCTCTGTACACTTTGTGTGTGTGTGTATAGACTAAAATCATACTTTTTGTACTATTTTCTTTTTTTTTCATAATATTGTTTAAGGAATGAGTATTTTTTTATTCTTATTTTCTATTATATCACACTCACTTCTAATAAATTTTTTATATGGCATCACTGTAAATGTAGGAAAAATCAACTTTTTACTACAAAAAGAAAACTGATAGAGGTTCTTAAGGTTGATAAAAACAAAAAAAAAAAAAAAAATGTATAAAAAGTATTCCTTATCATATAGAAGCACTAATGGCTGCTAAGAAGTGGTCTTGCAAAACATTAATTTTAATTTTTTAAATTTTATTACATTAAAATTTTTATATGCAAAAAAATTACTTATTTCAAAATACAAATAAACATAAATACTTTAAATAATTATCAACAATTGCATTACTATTGATTTATTACATCAAAAACTAAAATTATCAATTTTTTGCAAGAGTCTAATAATTTGGCAAGGTATTGTATATATAACATGTACACACACACACAAAGTTCAATATAAATTAGCACAATTACTGAATGACTATTAATAACTTTAAAGTCTGTTTCATAGTTCACACCCAGCTACAAATGATGATAAGACAGTTTCAGTTTCCTTAATGTTCATTTATTGTTAGTACAAAAATCTTTTTAAAGAAAATGGATATGACTGAACATTTATAAACAACACAGAAGGAGACTTGCAATTACTGCACTATAAGTAGTTTTACTTTAAAACTTAACAATATTTTACAATGTAAAAGAAAGTATTCAGGAAGAAAAAAGTAACTGCTATTAATGATTTTAAATTAATTTGCTTCAGTTGTTTAATACTATTGAATAGTAATGAAATTTTTTTCTTTCATCAAACTATTCATTGTACAGATGTCAATCTTAATGCTTTGCTATACGAGATCAATTTCTTAACTAATTAGAGGAAGCATTTTATTTATGAAGTACTCGTAATAATTTCAATCATACTCAGAAGAAATATTTCTAAAATAAAGAATGGAAATTAAATAATAAATATTTCATTTTAAATACAAACATGAAATTATTTTATATACACACAAAATAAATTCACAACACTTCAAAATATAATCTGGACTAGTATGTGAAGATGTACTCTTTCACTATACACTGTTACTGACATCAAATAACGCATTAGGCTATTCTGTACGATCTGTATACATATGTACACTTATTTAATTTCTGTTTAAATTATATCCTATGAATTATGTGCATGAATTTTTTAAGGAATGTAATAGATATTTTTTATTTAAACATTAATCCGTAGTTGGTACGGAAAGAGGTTTTCCTTTCGGATCATCAAATCTGTCCATAGTGTGTATGCTGAAAAGCATGTAGATGCCAAAGGCCAAGATGGCAGTGAGAAGAATGACGACCATAAAGCCCATCCATATTGGAATGGTAAAAAATGTCACACAATCAAAGCTTTCTGCAAAATTGTCACTCCCAATTTTAAATGGCTGTATCTGTAAAATAGATTTCATAAATTTTTATTTATCTTCAATTTCATCAATTTCTATAAAATTGTTATACTCACTTGAAAAAAATCAAAAGTTATATTGCCAGAAATAGCCGTTACATTACGTATTTTGAAAATTGTGTTATAACAACTGTAAGAAAACTTGCGTGGAGCATCTATTTTGGAAAATACTAAGCTTATGTTATCCTCTTTTATATCTTTAGCAGAAAAAGAAAATGATGCCTCTTCCAAAAACCAGTCTGCACTTTTAGTATTGAATATTAATCTGAAAAATTTTAAGTGAACACAAACAGTTACAATCATTTACATGGTATTTTAAACAAAAAAAATTTTAAATAATTATATTCATTAAGACTATTAAAAATAAACAGAGAACTCCATTCATCTAGCCAAAATCCCTATATGCTAATTTTAAAAAATTTTCATTTAAAAATATTGATCTTTTTGATGATAAATTCATATCAGCATGAATAATAGAATACATGTTGTACAGGGTTGGTAAAAAACAGCGAAAAAAAAAAAAATAATTGAATAATTTGACTACCATCTAGTGGTGGTGCAAAGAGCTTATTTACTTAACATATATTTTGATAAACCAAGGTTTGAAGTTTTTTATCAAGGTGTTTTTATTCATCAAAATGGCTCCAGGAAAGACTGTCTACACTACTGAAGACAGGATTATGATTCTCCAGGCTTTCTATGAAAATGGTAGATCAGCTACAGTGGCACTAAGAAGACTTAAAGGCCAATTTGGTTTGCACGCAACTTTAACCCAATCGATAATTACAGTGGGTGATCGGTTAACGAACAGTTCGAATAGCGAAAAATCAGATAACGAACACTTTTACGAAATATTTTTATGATCAGACAATGAACACTTTACTGAACAAACATAAAAAGAAGTGCCGGAAAATAATGAATACCGATTGATTTTCCCTTGTCTTCAGATAACAATTCGAAACGTTTTGGAGCGCAGGAGATGTCAACATCGACGCTCAACCCAATACCAATCAGATAGTATTCCTCCAAATTTTGAAACTCTCCCTTGTAATTCTAGCTTTTTGTTTACCTTTCTGAAAAATAATTTTTTATAGTCTTCGTGAGACTGCCGGACGGGCACTTGTTAAGTTTTGCATCGTGGTTTATTTATGAAAGGTGAAAGTTTAACTGTCCTATCAAATAAATATTTGTTAACATTTTAATACCAAATTTCGAATTTCATCTGGGCCTTACATTTAAATAATTTTTTGTGGGGTAGTTGATTTCTGTTATCTGAATTTTGTAAGTGCTTTTCTGAACTTTTTATTTAAAAAAGAAACTGATAATATTATGGAGCCTAAAAAGAGGAGTGTCAAGAATTGTGCTCATCGTAGAAACCAAGTAAAATATAATAGCCAAGGTAGAAAGTGGGCACAAGATGTCTGATGTTGCTAGGCAGTATGGCTTGAACAGGTCTACAGTAGGCACAATCTTAGCTATGAAAGATATATCAATTAGTCTCAAGCTGCTAATGGAGTAATGAAAATAACATCTGAGAAATAAAGAGCATTTTAGAGCTCATAATGGAACCTGAAACTGATCTGATGACAGAAGAACTCCAGAGATGTCAGAACAACGATCATCCAAGTGGAATTCCAAACCAGAATAAGGTTAATGGGGTTGGGAATCTCTACAATTACAATACTATTAATTACTTCCGAAAAATCCTGAAGAAAAGAGAAAACCAATCAACATTGGACAGATTCTTTAACCCCCACAAATGATAAAAACATGACTAATAAAAATGCAAGACTGCATATATATGTATTTTTACTACTACCGTGTTTCCCCGAAAATAAGACAGTGTCTTATATTAATTTTTGCTCTGGAAAATGCGCTAGGTCTTATTTTCAGGGAATGTCTTATTTTTTCCAGGAAGAAGAATTCACATTTATTATTGAACAAAAAAATGCCCAAGTCGAACTTAGACGAGAGTGACGTATATCCGGTGTGTCGAACTGTCGCCTTTTTATAGCGTAAACATCGAACTCTATGACCAATTAGTGCTTACTGAACCGTAGCACTATGCAAATGTCATGTGGCATGATTCCTGGCCAACCAATTAGCCATCACCAGCCGTAACATTATGCAAATCTGTGATTCCCAAGCCATAGTCTTATGCAAATCATGCTGTGTGGCGTAATTGTCTGCTGACCAATCACTGGCTGTACTTTCAAAAAGCCAATGGCCACTTTCAACCATCTGTCGATGACCGTTACGACTAAAAAAAACTTCGCTAGGTCTTACTTTCAGGGGAGGTCTTATATTTCGCAATTCAGCAAAATCTGTGCTAGGTCTTATTTTCTGCGGATGTCTTATTTTCGGGGAAACACGGTACATATAAATAAATGTAGTAAAAAAGTATATATTTTTTATTGTTTGGAGTCTCCGGAACAAATTAATCAAATTCCCATAAAAATCTATGGTAAATTGATAATCGGTTAATGAACAAAGTCTTGGAACGGATTATGTTTGTTAACCGATCACCCACTGTACAAGGTAAAATTTTGAATTTTATTTTCATGAAAAAAAAAGGAAAAAAGAAAATTTTTTAATGTTCTTTCAATCTATTCACAAAATTTGAATGCACAGGAAACTTGATGTGCTTGATGACAAGGCTTCATTGACCAGAAGACCAGTCTGTCATCAGTTCAGAGAATGTACAGGATGTCAGTGAATTTTACAAATTACCAACTATATTGATTGCAAGAGCTTCATCAAAACTTAACATTTCTAAGACAAGTCTCCGTCAAATTCTTCATTGAAAATAGGATACATTTCCATACAAAATTGAAATACAGTGACCACTGACCCAAAAGAATTTCAACAAAAGATTTGACTTCATTAACGAAATTTTGGAGCTCATCTGGGAACACAAAATCAATTTGAAACATATTCATTTTTCTGATGAAGCCTACTTTGAACTTAATGGCTCTGTTAACAGACAGAACTTTCATTACTGGGGAAGAGAAAACCCCACTTATCCTTAGCACATCCTCTGCATCCACAAAAAGTTAGTGTTTGAGGACCAATTTCATAATGTTATATCGACCCCTGGAGATCGATATAACATTATTGCGGGTCAATAAAAAGACTAAAACTTACAAATTTTGAACTGAATATTGCTAATCTTGCTAAGGATTATCAAGCTTATCTGTCTTATTGATTGTCAGTTACAAAAATTATTATTAACATATGTACAATAAATGTAAAAAATGTAAAATTAAAAGATATATATTAAAATAGTAAGAGCATTTTTTTTTTGCTTGTAACACAAACTTTTTGGTGGAGGTCGATGCTAGGTTTCGAAAAGTTGTAGGAGGTCAACAATCAAAAAAGCTTGCGACCCCTGTCCTAACCATTTGGAGTAGTGTTTGTGTGCCTTCCTATCCAGTCAGAATTTACAATTGTGTGCATCATCTACATTTCTGCTTGAGTACTATCTGAAGCAAGATACAGCATCCAACTTTGAAGTTCTACACATTACAAACTGTTTCTCTATGCTTTTCATCATGGGAAATTTTGTCAGAATTCTTAAGGTAACAAAATTTGTAAACTCTCTCTGTGATGATAGTATGTATAACTGCAAATACTAAATACTATATAAAATACTACAAAGTCTTACTTAACTGTGCAACGTACTGTACAAACTTTTGTACTACCTAATAAATGTTTAAGTGTAGTTAACTGTGTTGAGTGACTCCTTCCAACTGTATCTCATCAATCCCTACTCCATCCTCTTACCCCTAGTTTTACATACAAAATCGTGTTATTGCCATCCACAAAAAAATGCTCAAGTAATAAGCAGAATCTACTTAGTGTCAGAAATTTCTGAGTGTAATCATTTTCATTCAGCAATGAAAAGGCTCTAAAGGCTGTATAAAACTCCACACTGGTATCAATTAGATCAGCTGGTGACTTTACACAGTTGATAGCGTGTTTATCACCATCAAATATTGGAGAAATTTCTTCCAAGTGTTAGAAGACAATCAACGGTCAGAAACTATTGGTTTCAGCAAGATGGCAGCATTGCACATAGAACTCATGACAATTTGGATCTCATATCTAGTATCTTTGGAGATCAAATAATTAATTTGAATTCAAAGGCAGAGACCAGTGGTAGACTGGATTGGTTTAATCATTTATCCAATTCAACCTGTGATTTTTTTTCTTTGGGATATCTCAAAGACTGGGTATGCATAGTATGGATGAACTGAAAGAATGCATCAGAAATGAAATCCAGGCCATTCCTGATAAAATTTGGTACTACTCAATAATGGCTTTTGAAACTAACTTCATCACTTAGTTGCTAGTAAAGGCAAACACTTAAAAAAATAGTTTGCATTAAATCTCATCATTCCTTGTCAATGTTTAATCAATAAAAAATGTTTATATCTTCTGGTTAATTAATAATAGATTTTTTACTTTTCTTGCTCCTTTTGGTCGACCTTGTATTTTGTTCTCTTTAGTCCAAGACAATACCATCTTTCTTGAATTAATATTTAACATTCTAATTTTTCCCTAATATAAAATAAAAATATATTTAAACAATAAGTAAAAGATTTCAGCTAATCTGCAGGTGTACAGTGCTAAATTGCTCGAATCCCTATAACATTTTTTGAAATACAAAATAAAATAAATTCTACAGAAGTTTAAAGTAGTTGTTTTCTTATGCAAAAAATTTAAAAGGTTTTAATATAAGTAATATTAAGAATGCCCTTTCAATTCTTACATCTAATAGCAAATCCAGAAACTTCAGTTTATACAACAAATACTGAAAAACGAAATTTGATTTTTCCTTCTTTTTTTAACATAAAAAATTCCAAACAGAATAGAATTTGTTCCTGAAGACTTGAATTTAAAACAATACAAATTAATAAAAATTGCTGGTAATTTAATTATTAGATTTTTATTAAAGTTAAAATATTTCAAAAAACTATTTTTTGTTTTTTCTTTATTAATAATTTTACTCCCAATTTATCAATATTTTAAAATGCTTTCTTTTATGATAAGGCAAGAATCTTTTTCAAATGACTTACACAAAGATATAATGAAATTTAACTTACTTTAAGCCTGCAGAAGTAAGGCTTGTTCCAGTTGTATCCATTTTAATATCAAACCTGAAATAATTGTTGTTGTTATTACAGCAAAATAATATCTCATAAAACAATTTATAATTGTTTAGACACAATTTAAAGTCTTTAAATTGTTTCTAAACAATGTTTAAAGTTCTTTCATTATTGAATTTAAATTAAAAAATTTTTTCACTTAAAATATTTATTTCCAACAATATTAAGAACAGAAAATAAATTTTAAAATAACAATAAAAAATAATAATAATTTAATTGATAATATATAATAAGGAATGTAGAAAATCAATGAAATATAAATTTTCTGATTAACTTCTAAAACCCAAGATCAGGGATAATTCTTTGCATGAATAAAATGCTCACATAGCACATGATTAGAAAATCAAAAATTGAAAATTGCAGTAAAAATAAAATTTTAACCAATATGAAGGATATCAATAGTTAGCTGAGGACATTATAATCCTTTGACCCAGAGTAAGAATAATTATTTACTTTTAATTTAACTGTTTATGATTGTTTTCTATCATACATTAGTAGTTTTTAACCTTTTCTATTGCCTGCACCCCCTGATTTTTTAAAATGGACTTGAAAGAAGAAAATTAAGCTTTTTATTTTAAGTGATAGAATCATCCCATTTTTCTCATGTATATTTTATTAGAATAAAATACACATGAAATTGTATTGTAAATACAACTAAGCCATAAGAAAAACATTGTTCATTCATTAATAAAAACATTTAGGNTTTCAACTTTCAACCATGACAATATACATTAAGAAGGGATTTTTTTTTTTGAACTTTCCATCGTGGGGAGAGGGAGAGAGTTAAAGCTTACCCTGAAGAACTCGACTTTTACTGTACTATTTTAGATGCGGTATTTTGCGTTTTTGCGGGAAATCGAACGTATATTTAGACAATTTAAAAATTTTTCAATTACCCTCGAAAGAGGGAGGCCAAATTCTTGCATTCGGTGAAAACGGTTAAGATCGGCTTTAGTCTAATAATATTAATGTTCGCTATCGTTACATTTTGCCGGACAACGCCAGACTCATCGGCTGGTATTGAATATAAATTCTTTCTCAGGTATTGAATTTCATCAAAAGATTTGGAAAAGTCTCCTTGTGTCTGTTGATTGGAGGTTTCTACAACGTCAATAAGAGGATCCCTCTAAAGGTAGTTTTACAGATTCTGTTGTATAATTAATTATTAGACTTCATTTTCCAGCGGTTTTGAAATTATGCATGATATTAATACGCAATTTAAAAAAAAAAAAAAAAAACATTACAGTGGAATCTCACTTAACAAGCCCCTTGCATAATGAGCAAAGCAAATTGTGAAAAAAAAAACTTGCTTAATGAGCGACATTTCACATAACAAGTGACAAGGACAGGGGAAGTCCAAGATTGTGCACATGCTCCATCAGTCTGTGTTTAGCACTCGTTCCGCTAGCATCTTAGTGTCACTTGTGATCACACATATTATGTATAAACATTGACAATCATAACTTGTTATATAATAAACAGGCCAAATGATATGCCAAATTCTTGGGCTATGTAAAGACTATAATTAAATATTAAAAATGAATTAATTTGACTAGAGGTTGGCAGTTACACTGCCATCTTGTATTAAATTTAATATAAAAACTGAGTATAATAAAATTGATGAATTTTAAACTGCTGTACAATATTCTTAGATACTTTATTTGCAGTTATCATGTAAACAATCTGAATTTTTGGCATTTGGGTAGCTAGTAATGTTGCTATATGTCACATGACTCAGTATATGGTATTATTTCATTTCAATAACTCACAAAACCTTTGAATATCCAGTAAAATTATTTAATTGAAATAACAAATATTTTCAACCTTAATATTCAGTCTTCATCAGGTTTTACAAATGCTGAGATTCTACGAACAGTTCTGTGCAAGAAGTTTAAAAACATTCTCTGTTTTTAAATTTGTTGCACAAAACTCAAACATTTTATGCATAACATTTATTCAAAGAAAATGATACAATATACATTGTTAAGGAGCATGAATCTTCATCTTTTTTTCTAGCACGGAATGAACCAATCTGGAATGCGAATTCAATTTGCAGGAAAAAAAAAAAAAAAATCACAGATAATATGTCTGATAAACATGCCAAACAATATGCCAAATTCTTGGGCTATGTAAAGGCTATAATTAAATATTATAAATTGATTAATTTGACTAGAGGTAGGCAATTATGCTTCTAGTTCGTATTAAATTTAATAATTACAAATAATTAACTTTTAATTTAGACATTTCTAAAATTTGATTTGGAATTTGTTGAGCATTAAAAGGTTAAATACCTTTTACCTTTTGCATTTATATAATTATTATTGTCTATTTACACACACATTTTTATAATTTAATATTTATTTGATTGTACAACATTTTTCAAAAGTTTGGTAAATATATTTCTATAATGGAATATTTAAGTTCTACATATATAAAAGCTTCACAATAGACAATTGAATATGCTAAATATTAATATTAAAATACCATTGGATTAAAAAGTATGATACAAATTTTTCTGATTCAGATTATTTTAGATTATACATTTTTTGTTGAAATCCATTTCAAAATATTTGGATGCTCTGTTTTGTTTTAATTAATATCTAAAAAATATTTTAATATTAAATGTTATAATTTTCTANTTGTGATTCACCTTTTTACATTTCTACATTAAAATATATTTGAAAATCAAATGATTTGCAATGTTTCTGTAAATAAACAAAACAATAAATGATCTTTTAATATAGCATTACAGCAATGGCTTCAATACAAATATAAATGCTATTGCTAATGTTAAATGCCCATTTATGAATAAATAAATACATGAGTAATTAATATTTAAAATTATCTGTATGCATAAAATGTTTTCATTGATTAAACTTAATCATAATTTAACAAAAATTAAAATCAATATATCAAAATATTGATTTAATTTTTCAAAATATATTTCTCATAATTCAAATTTTAGCATTACTTATTTGTATTGATAATTTAATTCATTCATTTTAACATTAGAATATGCTAGAATAAATTGATGAACAATAATTTTGATATACATCATTGACACATGATATAATCTGGATAAACTGATATATGATGTACTTGTTAACAAAATCTGTTAGCATTAATTTGTAAATGATCATAAATTTTTATGCAAATTTTTATTCCTTAAAATGAAATATCTTGTCTTAACTGCATTGAAAAAGCTGTAAGAAAGTCAAGAGATCTAAAATGCATTGTTTAATACAATAATGTTATTTTAAAAAATCAGAATTTTCATTTTATTTATATTGTTTAGAAAAAGTTAATACAAATGAAAACATCTGTAAGCCTGATAGTAATATTAAAGCCAAACACAACATAATATTTATTATTATAATAGTTATTAATAGCAGCAATAATATAGCCTGATCTAATTTGAAAAAGTTAATGTTTTTGTTGTCAGTAACTATACTTGAGGCAGAGAGTTAGCAAAGCCTCTTCTACGTGGTACTCAAGCATCAACACACAAAAACCCTTATAATGCAGCCTTTTAATTCAAAAATTACTAACGTTTTCAGCCATTTTGAAAGTTCCAGAACAAATATCAGTTTTGAAATCAGAATCATTCAATTGTTCTGTTCCTGATGAAGGCCTTTCAAAATGGCCGAAAACGTTAGTAATTTTTGAATTAAAAGGGTGCATTATAAAGGTTTTTGTGTGTTGTTGCTTGAATATTAATTAAGTGCAGTTAAAGAAGAATTTACAGAATTGTGTTCATTCTCAAAATCTGTTTGATAGATTTTGATTAAATTTTGCTATTTTTCATTAATTGCAATGAGAAATCCAAAAATGTTATAAAAAGTGGGATCCATGACTTTGTTTTCAAGATATAAGGTTGTTTCCCAAGGTTGCTAATATGTCATCTATGGGGCTTATTGATTTGAGTGTTCTCAAAATTTGGTTGATTTTGATAAAACTTTGCCATTTTCCAATTGCCAAACATTTGCCGATTGTGAAGAATCTAGAAATGAAATAAATGTAAATGTGTAAAACAGGGGTCAAAAAAGATTTCGTTATCGATATAAAGTGGGGTCAAAGTTACAATATCTGTGCTCCTTGAGCATGCCTGATAGAATTTAGGGGTAAAAAAAAAAAAAACAGCATCGTATGCATCTAACAGAAAATAGATGCAAAAAAAAAAAAAAAAAGCACAAGAACAAAGCAATTGGCATTGATTGCTTTTAGTTTTACTCAAATATGGCAATACAACACATGGGCAATCTACCAAAGGAGAATGCTTCTCGGGAGGTCTTTTATGGGAAACTGGCCCCCTATTTAGATGTTACTAACATGAATAAAACTTGGAAAACTCTACATAGTCAACCCATTGGCCAGGCATGAACTCACAATCAACTACCAGTGTTCAGTGGTTTTATGCAAATAGTTTTTCCTGTGACCAACAGATTACAAAGATCACCTGGTAAGGAACCAAGTCCGAGCATTGTTTTTATTTACTTTTATTTTTGCTTTTTATTATATTTTTGTTTAGGGCTTATGTTTTGTAAGGACAAAGGTTCCCTCACCATTCACCTTAGAAACTTAAAAATAGAAGAGAAACCGACTCACCGACGAGAGAAAAGCGCCATAGGAAAAACTCGCGCACACTTGCGCTCCTGAGTGGAAAAAAGTAAGTCCGCACCGAGAAAAGGGGGGGAGACCCCACAAGCACAACTTAGGGACTTGCTAAACCTTAAAAAATAAAAACATCTCAAAAATTGTCAAAAAGAATAATGTAAAAGGTTAGCGAGCATTATCGGAAAATAGGCTGCCAGACAAATAGAAAAAGTTTATTGTTAGCAAATAAGTATGTAAATGAGGGGAGTGATTGCTCTCAGAATTGTAATGTCACTTCGCAGTATAAAGACCGAACCTCAAGTGAAGATGGATGAGGTGAGCTTCTGTTAGCAATGAGCGTGGTGAGCTTTGTAGCAGCAAACAGAAGAGAGGTGTCCGATAGGATAAAGTAGTTCCAAGGCGATTTTGAAGTTATTCGATTTGTGGATCGAAGATTAGAGAAAGTCTTGAGAGTTGAGGAAAAGATTTCTAGTATATTGAGGTGACGATTAGGATCTTTAATTCATAAGAATTATTGTATATAAGTTAAATCTTTGATTTTTATTGAGTTCCAAAGGGAAATAAATTTAAGTTAGAAAATAAATTGATTTGAGTTTTGTCGGGTTGATTCTTACTGATTTTCATTGAATACATTGTTATTTAATTTTTACTAAATTTTGTATAGTTATTACTGGAAATTTTATTAAATATTGGATTGTTTTTGACTAACGTGGTCATTAAGCATGGACCGAATTAAATAAAGTCCAGGCCTGGCACACTAATGCAAATCCGTGTAAAGTACCCATTAGGGAACGGCTATTTCCGGCACACAGTCATGTTGATAATCGTTGTAGAAAGTTGGAAAAATAATATAGTACTTTACAACCTCTCCATTGGCTAGCACGATGTCCTAGTATATTTTTTTGTTATTGAACTGTAATTGAATTTATGGTGTCAAATCAGTTGATATGTTCAGTGAACACAGACTTTCAGTCAATACAATGCTTATCCACTGTAAAAATGTCAGTCAGCTACAATCACATTAACTGTTGATATGTATGTTGAGAGTTGAGGAAAAGATTTCTAGTATATTGAGGTGACGATTAGGATCTTTAATTCATAAGAATTATTGTATATAAGAATTATTGTATATAAAGTTTAACTTTTCTTCTTGGAAGAATATGTATATCTATATACATATATTGTATTTTTGTGGATTGTTTGGCATGTCGGTCTATCCGGAGAGACCAGGAAATCAGATATTTCCATATGTTAAAAATCAGCATGCCAGTTTATCCCAGGGAAATGCTGACATACTGCTCTATGTGAGGTTATACATCCCTCTTTAGAGGGTGCATTATAAAAATCAAGTTACATCAGATAAAAACAAATACATTTTTATTCTAAAACTGAAACTGTCAAGCATTACATCAAAAACTACATTTATATTACTACATTTAATTTCTTCATTTTGTCTTCTTTCTGATGACATAAAATACTTGTAAATTCCAAAAGTGCTTTTTTTATGTTTATTTTATGATAATTCTATTAGAAAATGCAAAAATCAACATATTAAATTTAAGAAACTTTGGATAAAGTATCTCAATTTACATGGATTAACAGCAGCTTTGTGTAAAATTTGAGAAGAGGGTGTTATTTTTAAGGTTATGGTGAATGGTCTGTGTAGTCCACACTAACTATCTACTACTACTACTACAATTACAATGATATTATATTACTCTACTTGAAGGAATTTTTTTAAACATTTGTTTAACAACTAGTTTTGTTAGATCTGATTAATTTTTATATTTTAGTCGCAGTTTAACTGGCATGCTGGCCCCCCGTTTACATGCAACGTGCTGGTCATTATGCAAAAATATGGTATTAAAATCTAATATAACCTGATAGTTATATATTAAAGCCAAATAATCACAGGATTATATTGGGTTATATTCCTCCTACTATTAATAATCAAATTCTAACTAATTTGACTAGAGGTAGGCATTAGGTACCATCTCTTGTTAAATTTAATAACTGTAATTAAATTAATATCTTAATAATTAATTTAGAAAATTCTAGAAAAAAAAATTGGCCTGAAATGGGATTTGAACCTGAAACTCCTGCTTACTGTGAGTTGTACTACCAGTTACACTACCCAGACTTTTGCCCAATCCTTGCCTTTAGCTGTTGATATTTGCATATATACACCATGCTGGGGTAAGCGTTATAAGCTGTTCACACTGAATTGTCTCCAGCTAGCACAATAAGTAACCAAGTATGGTTATAGCTAAATTAATAGTTCTGGAAGCTAGGCTGAGGATTATACACCTTCATAAAATATGAATCCAAAGTCATTAACCATGTCTTCTTCTTATTGAGAATTTCATAACAAGATGCTACAGCTTCACTCCTCCTTTGCTCTTAATCAGGGCCCATTTCACAACTCAGACATTTGGTTGGATTCACTAATTTGCTATTATTCGACATGACTATTCTTTTTCTATTATTACACAATAATTTCACTTTAAAATGGTGAAATATCATATGAACAATAAACAAACCAATAATGCTTAGAATCTCCATTAAAGCAAAGTTGCTACTAGCTATATATACATATATACGTACATACTGTATAGATATCTACATCCCAAAGCCCAATGTATTAATACTAAACCAAACAATCGCTGTAATTAATCAGGCTATTTTTTGTTACTAGGTTAGTAGCAAAAATAATCAGATTAATTACAGCTATCATTTGGTTTAGTTGCTACTAGCACTATTAGTATTGTCACAAAGTATGAAAAAAATATTTGCTTTTAGCAGTTACAAAAAAATATTCAACAACATTGTGGAAAAAATTTTTTGAGCCTTTTTGAGAGAAAATTTGAAACCAGCATTGTCAATTGGTGTAAATCTGTATATGAAATAATGAGTTAAATATACAATATGTAACTATTTTTATATTTATATGAAAAATAAACTTATTTTGATAAACAACACTTACCCAAGAAGGATTATATCCTGTAAGTAAGTAAGTAACAGATTTTTTAAGCTTTTTCAAAGAAGTTTCCACTTTCTTCATTAAATCATCTTAAAAAAAATGAAATTAACTTAATTGAAAACAAATATAATAATTTATGATAGCATATGATCAAGTTTAGTTAAAATACTAGAAATTTATAAATTAAAAAATCCTCTTGTTCAATTATAATATCACTGACATTTAAATACTTTTAAAAATTTTTTGAGGACACATGACTTCCTGTCACAGCTGAGATATTGAAATGCAATGCATTCAAATTTAAATTTTAACCTGAAAAGGCCATAACTCAATAACACAAGTTGAAGGATCATGAACGTAGGTATGTATGGTTCATTGGTTGAAGGATGACTCATTTTTGGTGTAATAAAACTGTTTATTAAACAAGATAAAACTCTTTGGGTGCAATATCTGATTAAGACCATAATATGTTTGAAATAATTCTTGGTATTTTAAATCAAAGTACTCAGTATGATAAAAAAAATTTGATCATTCTTCAGATAAAGTTTGGGAGAATAGGCAATTCACAGAAAGTTTGTTAAGGCTGTGACACACTAGGCAATTTCTTGCCCGGAGACATATCTCAGAGTAACAAAAACCTGTTGATATTTGCCGATATTCAGACACATGAGGAGACAAGTTGCAAGAATCAAATGATTGACATTTCTACCTGGTAATCATAAATTTTCACTAACAGCACAAAAGCATGTTTCTTTGAGTATCTTGTCATGATATTCTTTAATAGTGTGGTTATACCATAAATTGGTTCTTACAATTGAATTAATTAAATTAAACATTGTGTGCTGTCAACTGTCAATGAATGACTATCCTCCATTTTTATTTTGGTGTTGTAAACAACAGCTGTACTTATGTGATAAATCTATGCACACTGATTGGCTGCAGCAAGCAATAGGGAGACTTTCTGTCTTCCAAAGTTAAAGTGGTTTGACTCCCTAACAATTATCCACTACTACATAAACAGTATATTTCTAAGAATACTGTTTAATAGTGGATAACTGTCGACAGTGAACCATAGTCTATAAATATAAAATATATATGTGTTTAGATATGTAGTCATGATGTTATATTAAACCTGGGTTTATTGTGTAAAACTCAGATAAGAAATCTGACTGAAGAGGGCAAGTAAAAAGTGCTAGAATGAATTTTAGATGTCAGAGTTGAATGCTGTATATTATATTGGATAGTTTTACAATAATCGTCTCAAGTCTCTTTGTGTGATAACCCCTAAAATAACTGGAATATAACAGTAATTGAGAACTAATTAATAAAAAAAAATATAAGAAGCTAGTTGGTAGACATTTAGTATAAATAAAATATTTCCCTATAAGTTGTACTATAAGATATAAGTTATAAAAACTGTCAGCTCATTAGTTTTTTACAGACATTTTGAAATTTATTTTGTTAAATTTAAAAACTTCATAATATAAATTTTAAAATTTTTAATAAAATAAAAATTCTATTAGAGTGAAACTTCATCAAACACTTTCCAATAACAGACAATTTACAATTCTCCAGCAGAGATACACAAAATTATGCATACATTTTACTTCTGAAAAATGGACATTACAAATAATGAATGTGTACACTCCAATAGAATCATTAACAGACAGCAGAGATCTTCTATTACTAGAACTGGCACAGTAAACAGTCAGAAAGTAATGATAATGATCCTACAATGAATGATATGTTGACTAATAAGGAAGCTATTAGTTTTTACATAGAAAATATAGGATTTCTTGCATAATAGTGACAGTGAAAACTTGTATTAGAATTGGAAAATTAACTTAAAGTTAAATTAGTAAAAGTATGTAAAAAGCAGTCAACAATGTTAGATTATTTTACAGTAGTATGAATGTAAGGTTTATTAAAATGCATCTTCTTTGTTGCACAAGAAATATCATTATAAATATTTTCTTAGCAAAAATTATAATTATCAGCATTAATGTTAAATTATTTAAAATTTTAAAGTCTACAATTTATGTATACAAATTCAATTTTTTATTAATTTTTTCTAATAACACAGTTTTTGATTCCTCAAAAGTTTGATTCGTCATTGAGAAGTTTCACTTGTATGAGAAAACTAATAAATCAAATTTTCAGGATTATTAATAATAACAACAACAACAAATGACAATTTCTACTTAATTCCCTTTAGTTCTTCGCCCGAGTTAACTTGGGCATGTTACATAACGTTACATAAAACTCAGTCCTTTCCCCCCAATTTTTTTTTTTTTTGAATTTTTGAAATGTTTTTTAAGTCTCCAAATTTTTTCAAAAATTTTTACCCGCGCAAAAAATTTTTATCGCAATTTTAATTAGCCTTTGATAAGGCTCGATTAAGGCTTAATTGTTTTTTAGTGGGATTTTTTATCAAAATTAATTAATCGTTGTAGTGCACGGATTTTCCTTCAGTAAAGTTATTTAAAGCTGCTTTCTGATGTCAAAAACCACCTCCAATAGTTTTTTAATTTTTTTAATTAATAGATTTTATTATATACACGTTTAATTAAGTCAGGGGGGTCGGAAGTCACAATTAAAATTTGAATTTTTTTAAAATATTTAAAAATATACAGCCAGCTAGAACTCACCCTACTACAAACCCTTGTCCTCCCGAGACTTCTATGAGAATGTCCCGGGAAATCAGACTCCAGCTGTGTTCAAGGTCATCCAGCTATGTAAACAATGACTCATTGGTGTCAAATTTCTCAGAAAGGCGAGACAAAGGAAAATAAAGTTTGAAGCTTTTTCTTCAAAATTAATGCATTTCTTTCGTTTTTTTCAGTTTTAAGTATTTTTTATGTTTAATTACATTAATATAAAAAATTGCTGGGAACTTAAGGTGTTAATTCAATATTTAGGAAAATATAACGGGATTTTCTTTTATAGTAAAATTTTTTCTGAGACATTTTCAAAATTATTTAAATTAAATAAACAAAATGTATTAAATAAAATAAAATTAATTTTTCTATAATAAATTTCAGTATTGGTGGCTGTATATAGTATTGCAGTTTTCCAGCCACTGAATTTTGAAAATTTGTATCCATCAATTAAATTAGAATCATGTTTTGATGCAGTTATTGAATTCATGATCCAACATAAAACTGAATTATTTGCTTACCAAAATGAGATGAATGACTTAGTCACAGTTAGTTTGCAATCATTTTTTAGACTCAACAGCAAGCCTTATATACAAAAGAAAGAGTTCCCAATGGAAAATCCTATGTCAAAATTTTTATGTAAGCTCAAGAAAGATATCCTTAGATATTTTACAGAAGACATCATATTCTATAAAATGTATGTGAATGATGTATTCTTAATTTGGAGGAATAACTGGAAAGTTCAGAATTTTCTGAGTATGAACAACAACAATAAGGATGGTTTGAACCTAAAACTGTATAAGAGAGCAATATTTGCCTTCACTTCTCAGACATTGACATCAGGTAATATATATATGGGTGTATACAGCAAACCAATTTATGCTCCTCTGTACATCCCATCATGGTCCATGACCCTTACAAATATAGACTTTCAGCATTCAGAAAACTTATTAAAAGAGCTTTTTGTATTGTTTCAATACACAGGACCAATTAAAAGAAATTAATAGGACAAAAGAAATTGCAATAACATTAGAATGTAAAACATCCACAATAGAAGGGCTCATTAGGAGTTAGGAAGAAAACAAAGAGAAAAACTCTAAAAAAAATCAATAAATTTACACACAACAAATGTTTGGGATGAATTATAAATTAAATGGCAACTTACAAAAACATGAAGATAGTGTACAAAACAATCTCTGATATTTACAACTTACTAAGAAATGATAAAGGCAAACTAAGGAGAGAAGAACAATCTGAAATATACAAAATACCACACAAAAACTAACAGTTAAAGATCAAAAACAATTACATTAAAAATCACTCCAGTAAGGGAGAAGGAAATAGTTATAATATGTAGTAGTAGTAGTAGTAGTAGTAGTAGTAGTAGTAGTAGTAGTAGTAGTAGTAGTAGTAGTAGTAGTAGTAGTAGTAGTAGTAGTAGTAGTAGTAGTAGTAGTAGTAGTAGTAGTAGTAGTAGTAGTAGTAGTAGTAGTAGTAGTAGTAGTAGTAGTAGTAGTAGTAGTAGTAGTAGTAGTAGTAGTAGTAGTAGTAGTAGTAGTAGTAGTAGTAGTAGTAGTAGTAGTAGTAGTAGTAGTAGTAGTAGTAGTAGTAGTAGTAGTAGTAGTAGTAGTAGTAGTAGTAGTAGTAGTAGTAGTAGTAGTAGTAGTAGTAGTAGTAGTAGTAGTAGTAGTAGTAGTAGTAGTAGTAGTAGTAGTAGTAGTAGTAGTAGTAGTAGTAGTAGTAGTAGTAGTAGTAGTAGTAGTAGTAGTAGTAGTAGTAGTAGTAGTAGTAGTAGTAGTAGTAGTAGTAGTAGTAGTAGTAGTAGTAGTAGTAGTAGTAGTAGTAGTAGTAGTAGTAGTAGTAGTAGTAGTAGTAGTAGTAGTAGTAGTAGTAGTAGTAGTAGTAGTAGTAGTAGTAGTAGTAGTAGTAGTAGTAGTAGTAGTAGTAGTAGTAGTAGTAGTAGTAGTAGTAGTAGTAGTAGTAGTAGTAGTAGTAGTAGTAGTAGTAGTAGTAGTAGTAGTAGTAGTAGTAGTAGTAGTAGTAGTAGTAGTAGTAGTAGTAGTAGTAGTAGTAGTAGTAGTAGTAGTAGTAGTAGTAGTAGTAGTAGTAGTAGTAGTAGTAGTAGTAGTAGTAGTAGTAGTAGTAGTAGTAGTAGTAGTAGTAGTAGTAGTAGTAGTAGTAGTAGTAGTAGTAGTAGTAGTAGTAGTAGTAGTAGTAGTAGTAGTAGTAGTAGTAGTAGTAGTAGTAGTAGTAGTAGTAGTAGTAGTAGTAGTAGTAGTAGTAGTAGTAGTAGTAGTAGTAGTAGTAGTAGTAGTAGTAGTAGTAGTAGTAGTAGTAGTAGTAGTAGTAGTAGTAGTAGTAGTAGTAGTAGTAGTAGTAGTAGTAGTAGTAGTAGTAGTAGTAGTAGTAGTAGTAGTAGTAGTAGTAGTAGTAGTAGTAGTAGTAGTAGTAGTAGTAGTAGTAGTAGTAGTAGTAGTAGTAGTAGTAGTAGTAGTAGTAGTAGTAGTAGTAGTAGTAGTAGTAGTAGTAGTAGTAGTAGTAGTAGTAGTAGTAGTAGTAGTAGTAGTAGTAGTAGTAGTAGTAGTAGTAGTAGTAGTAGTAGTAGTAGTAGTAGTAGTAGTAGTAGTAGTAGTAGTAGTAGTAGTAGTAGTAGTAGTAGTAGTAGTAGTAGTAGTAGTAGTAGTAGTAGTAGTAGTAGTAGTAGTAGTAGTAGTAGTAGTAGTAGTAGTAGTAGTAGTAGTAGTAGTAGTAGTAGTAGTAGTAGTAGTAGTAGTAGTAGTAGTAGTAGTAGTAGTAGTAGTAGTAGTAGTAGTAGTAGTAGTAGTAGTAGTAGTAGTAGTAGTAGTAGTAGTAGTAGTAGTAGTAGTAGTAGTAGTAGTAGTAGTAGTAGTAGTAGTAGTAGTAGTAGTAGTAGTAGTAGTAGTAGTAGTAGTAGTAGTAGTAGTAGTAGTAGTAGTAGTAGTAGTAGTAGTAGTAGTAGTAGTAGTAGTAGTAGTAGTAGTAGTAGTAGTAGTAGTAGTAGTAGTAGTAGTAGTAGNTCAACATATATTACATTACATTTCTACTTCAGATATACTAATAATACATTCTAATAATACTAATATATCCTAAAAATAGCAGATTGTCATTGGCAACGGCAAAAGAGTGGAAACATCATTCGCACTTGTTCGAAAAAAGTCCATTGTTCGTCTCACCTAACTGCCGAACGGAAAGTCCGTTGTTCGCAGCAAGTCCGTTGCTCGAGTCACGTAACGGTCAAACAGAAAGTCCGTTATTCGCAGCGTCCGTTATTCGAGGCGTACGTTATACGAGGCACCACTGTATATGTAAAATCAAAAAAATTATACTAACCTAATTTATTTAGGACAATAGTCCGACTTATCACATCATTATCTGATGAATATAAGATGATAATGTCATTCTTTTCTGCAGCAGATACAATATCATCAACAAAACTTTCATTTAAATACAGCTGTTTAATTTTATAATTTTTATTTAATTTAAATAAACTTTGAGTTGGATTTACAACTGAAGGAATTATTAATGATGATTCTTTGTCAAATGTGCTCTGGAAAGAAAAAACATTCTTCATTCAAGACAAATATAAAAATTTATTTTAGAGTAGGATTTATATTTAAGATAAATAAAATGAAAATTTTTATGTATTGTCTTAGACTTTTAGTTTTTCAGCCATTATAGAAAACAACACAGGGAAATTATGGCAATAAACCAAATTTTGACTCCTTACTTTTTGCATTTTATGATTCCAGGAGCCAAAAAATGTAAAAAAACCATTTAAAAATTTTGTGCAGGCATTTATTCTACATTATACTTCAGTACTAGATAAACCAAAAATTTTGAAACTTGGCAGGTTATTTCTATATGTGAGGCATTGATGTAACTAAATGTTGATGGTTAAATGTCAAAGGATGGGAAAATAGAGAAGAGATCTTGTGTCATACCTTAAATAGGGTCATACTTAATGAAACTTTTACTCATTATTGTCATTTACAATCTCCTAAGAACTCATGTTACCCTCAAAATTAAGCCTTTTACCTTTTTTATAATTATTAATATAAAAATTGTTTTAAAATAAAATTGCATAACAGATGGTGTCACAATTTTAACTTTGGAATAATATGTCTTAGTGCTTTTTAAACTTACATATTTTTTAAAATAGAAATTTTTATCATAATCCAACAAAATTACTTCTTTTAAGCTTTTGTAATTATAATATGTAAATTTTATATCATAGTACAATTAAAAATTATACATTTTTTCTCATCTTTTTAAAAATTTATTACCTTTTAATATCCTTTAAAGATAATTTCACAATTACTTTTCATGTAAAAGTTTAATTTACTATTATTAAAAGATATTTCCTGTCTGTATAATTAGATTTTTATCATATTCAAAAGTAATGAAAATAGCATTTAATTAGAAAAATTACCTTTAAGTAGTGAAAGTTATTATCCTTTTCTTGTGAATGAATGAAATCTTCAAGACTTAACTAAAAATTAAAATTTTTTTTTATTAATAAAATCTTCAAAAATATTTATTACATATTAAAATTTGAAAAAGTGTTATGCAAATACAGTATATATTGTACACAATAATTCTTAAGTTATAACATAATAACCATAATCATAATAAGAACAATAACTAATCTATAATTTCAATCATGTAAGAACAAAAACTATATATAGCTTTTTAACTATCATTCATGTACACAAGAAGAAATTAATCTTCAATAATAAATAAACAAGTTTGAAGTATTTTCATTTTTATCTTGATGATTTGAAAGATAAGTATGTGTTACTAAATTTTATTGACAATACAGTAAAATATTAACAAGTAGCTTTTTTTTTTTTTTTTTTTATAATTGTGAGATATATGCATTTATATATATATTATTTATTTGGATAACATTTGAATATTTATATTAAAGTTTAAAAGTGAAAAGAATAATTCAGTATATATCTTCACTAATCTAAGGTTTTTATTACTTCTCCAGTAATTATTATTAAAGAACAATTGCATATAAATGAATATCATTAAAATAATTAGTTTTTCTTTTTTACAAAAATAAAAAATATAAACTAGAATTGTCTGTATAAAAACAGCAGTAAATTTTTATTTGACTTGAATTTTCTAAATTTTTAAATTTATTTAGCTATTTTAAAAGAAATCAAATAAAAATAAGAATATATTTCTTTGTATTTTAATAATTTTCAATATGTCTATCATTTAAAATTATATGATTGTTAATGGTATAGGAATTTTGAAATAAATGTGTGATATTAGAAAAATTAAAAATTAGCAACATTTAAGGAAAATTCACTTTAGAATTATTCAAAGTTTTAACTGAATTTGCTTAATCTGCCATATATAAAATATGTCAAAATGATAAGGATTAAATACAGGTGCTCCCCTACTTATGAACAGCAAATGATTCCTGAGGTCTTGTCGTAAGTCAAAAACTAATCTAGAAAGTATATTTGTACACAGAATAATCATGTATTTTTAAGTATTTAATCCTTCAATGTACTTAATAGAATACATTATGCTCACTTATCCACTTGCTACTGCTTTGTAGTGGGTGTTTCAAATACATTTTTTGTCACATAACACACTTAGTTTTATAATGTCCAGTTCAGTTTCCAGGGTAATAGGGACCCTTCTTGTATTTATATGCATTGCTAGATTTATTATTAAATTTTAGATTCATTTTTGAAACACTAATTGTAAGAGTTTATAAAAATTATAAACAATATGAGAAATGCCATTACTCCAATGTTACAGACTTTGATGCCACCTCATGAGCAACGATGGAATGTGAGAAGCCATCCAAAAATAGAAAATGACAATACACAATAGAAATAAATCAACTAACTAACACCTAAATGTGAATTCCAACACATAATAAACAAAGAAATTTTAATGTTCAAATGTTTTCAGCTGTCTTTTAGAGGATATCATCAGGAATGAATGCACAAAAAAACACAAACAGTTCTATCCTTTGAAAATTTCTAACTTTCAAATCTCTGTTGAATGCACATTAACTCAGACTATATTGCGGTACACAGTACCACAATTGTGGAAGTATTATTTAGATTGCCACAGAGTATAATAATTATTTTATTTGTAATTATTTATTTAATTTATATGTGGTAAAGGAAATGATTTCTGTATTGAACATCATTTAAATGTTTAAAAATTGGAACACAGCAAGGTTTGAAAGTTAGAAATTTTCAAAGGATAGAACTGTTTTTGTGTTTTTTTTTGTGCATTCATTCCTGATGAGATCCTCTAAAAGACGGCTGAAAACGTTTGAACATTAAACTTTGTTTGTTTATGTGCTGGAATTGGAATTTGCATTTAGGTGTCAGTTAGTTGATTATATAGTTCCAGTTTAAGTGTGCCATTTTTTGTTAAATAAATCCACATTAATTTTTTATTACTGCCTAAAAACTGACTTCAACAACACTCTAAGACTGAGTGGAAAACTTCAGAATTTGCACAAAATTTAAATTTTAGATGTACGTTCAAAATTGTTCATAAGTCTGAAAGTTCGTGAGTAGAGGTGCTCCTGTAGTTTTGCTAGGGAGTCTATCTGATTTGTGGACAAGAGACAAACCTGATTCTTTCCTTTTCTCTTTCTAGGTAAATGTAGTTTAATGCAGATCATAGAATGCAATTGGTTTACATAGAGATACATCACTCCATCACAATAAGGAGGAACCAGGCTTATATTTAAAGCTGTATCTAACTTATTTTAGCCAAATTTTGAGATATGCTTTTATATATATATATTGCAAGCAATATATATTTTCACTGAAGCTTATTTAATTTTAGTTAAATATTTTTAAAATGATTTTCTAAAAATAATTTTTAAATATATATAATGCTTTTATAATTCAGATTAAATTTGTAATGATTTTGTTTTATTCTATTATATAATAAAAATTTTATGCTAATGATGATCTAAAATTAGGTAAAAAGTGTTTCAATTAATGATAAATTTATTGGTAACCTTAAATATAGCAGTACTTTATTTATTATTAATTATTACAATATCATTTGCTGTCAAATCATATTTTGATACTAAATGTGGACATTGTTATCATCTATTTATTACAGAAAGCCATAATTCATTCAGTAATAACTAATGATAATTTTTGTTAAATGTTTTTCATTAATTAATCCAGCTTCACAGCATGAATAGTAATAATCCTTTTCTTTGTCTTTAAATATTTTTTGCTATTGTTACTTGTTTTGTCCTCTGGCAATATGGTTAATTATTTTATTGAAAGTACAGTGGAACCTCGGTATACGATCTTAATCTGTTCCCGATGTTTGGACTTATACCGAATTGGACGTATACCAAACCAACCTTTCCCATAAGAAGAAATGTAAAAATGATTCATCCGTTCTCGTGTAAAAAAATGGCTGGCTTTTAATTAAACACCTCGCTTTCCTGGCTAGTTCCTGCTTGATTTTTCATGAGATCAGCATGTATCTTTTTAGCTTTCTCGCAAATAATTGCGTCCGATACGCTGTCTCCAGCACTGTTTTTCAGTTATCCAAAGCAAAAGCAATTTCTCGACATAATCTAATGTCTTCGATCTCTGTTTAGAAATTGATTTAACCCCTTTCGCAACGTTAGCAGATTTAATAATGTCTTTATTTCTCGCGATTGTCCATATCGTCGTTCTTGGAATACGGTAGGCAACAGTTAAAATCTCGAACATGTGTGTCACCTTCGTATTTCTCAACAATCTCTTTTATCAGTTCCATTGTAATTCTAGTCATTTTTTTAGTTTTCTGTCACTTTTCATTTGTCTTTTTGCGATTCATGATGAATAAAAATAAAATTTTACTTACGAATTAAAATCAGAAGAAATTTAACAAAGTTATAAACCGTTGCACCACGAACATCTAGTCTGGTCTAGTATACCGATAGTGCTACTTGTTCATTGATGGCGTGTATAATTGAATTATGTCGTATACCGAACAAAAGTCGTATACCGAGCAAAATTTGTTTCGTCCAAACAGGACGTATTCTGAATTGGACGTATTCTAAAGCAGACGTATACCGAGGTACCACTGTAACTTAATATCTATCTATTCTTTTATAACTTATTGGTGCATAATAAGCATTGTTGTAATATGATTGATATTTCAACTACATATAAAATCTAGATACAATTTTAAGTGCAAGAAATGCATTAATATCATTTTTTATGTTTAACTACAAAATATTTTCATCTAAATTATTTTTTAGCGAAACAAAATACTTACTGTATCTTGACTATAAACAATTAAAGTCTCTTTTAATTTGAGAAGTGATTCCACAAAATCATTTTGAAATTGTTCTTCGTTGTAAGTTTTCATAGCTGATACATAAGGAAGTTTTTCTAAACTATGTAAGAAAAAATATAAATTAAAATTAGTAGTAATTTATAAATTCCAGCAAAATATCAATAAGTCATTTTATAAAGAATTAAAACATTTTATCACTTTTGTTTGTTAACAAAAATTATGACTAAGACAAAACCTTTCTCACTTTGTAGCTGTTTAAACAACTTTAGCAACTATCCCATCACTTGTCGTCCGCACACCTTAAATTTTGTATCAAAAGAAAATTTAATGCCCTCAGTATCGTCTAAACCTTATCAACAACAATGGCATCACTGGTAAGATGAAACCTATGTAAACAGTGACACCGTTTGAATATCTACCAACCGATGTTCTAACAGACCACAGTGTACCTGAAGAAGGCCGAAAACGTTTGTGCTCAGTGTTTAAATGGCTAGAAACAAAGTGAGAAAGGTCTTAGACAAAGTGAAGTGTCTAAAAACAAAGTGAGTGTCTTAGTCATTTCAAATAGTTCTAGCTCCAAATGCATAGAAGTAACAAAAATTAGAGAACATAGAAGATTTTATCAGAATACCCATATACAGTGTGATCCTGATTTACAACTGTACTGATACCTCATTTCCCAAAAGTCTCTTATAAATAAGAATGAGCTTTTATATTATATCTTATAGTCCAAATCATTGTTATTTACCTATCAACCAATGCTTCTGAATGAAATGAAATAAAATTGTTAATTAGGTTATTAATCAATATAAAAATGGACAATACAAATTGAGATATAAATATGACATAAAAAAGTGAATATGCAAATTATCAAACTTTTCTTTATTTAAAATCCAAAACCAAAGCTAGAATAAATAACTTGTAAAATAAAACCATTCACTTTTCTAACAAATGGGTTTAATAAACAAATATATAAGTGTTGTTTTTATATATATATATGTTACTGTGAAAGACCGAAATTAGAGAATGTCGACACATACAAAATACGTCGGTGAAAAACCGAATATTTGGTTATATTATTATACATTTGAACAATCACCGGTGTATGTCAACAAGCACAGATAAGCTTTGGTGGAGGTCAAAACGACACCCGAGAAGCCAATGTTGATAGAGAGGCGACAGTCTGTCGCCAAATTCTTCGCCGTTTCCTTCTGCTCAAATTGGTGATACCGTACGAATAAAGTCCTTGATGTCAACCGTAGCTGTACAGATGCTCGAAATGTGTTGGCGGTTGTAGATGGAATAGAAGACGGCAACTTTTATAAATTAGCAAACAAAAATGGCACCCTCAAGCAGCTTTATACTTGTAATCAGTTCGTAATTTGTAAAAAAAAAGTTACTTTCCATAGATGAGCTTTCTTCTTAAGAAATACCACTGGAGAAGCAGCTGCAGCTAATTCAAAAAGTGGAGGGCAAGGCTATATACGCTGTCATTACAAAAAGAAGTTTTCCACGAATAAATGCGGTTGTAAAAGCAAGGGACACTTGTGCAATTCAAAGTGCCATAACAGTTTAAGCTGTTGCAATAAATAAGATTGTATAACGTTAATCACATAATTTATGTGTAAGTTTATTATTGTATTATTTTCTTTAATGATTTAGAATATGCTGTTTGTTTTAGGTTCAACAGTTTATTTACATGTGCTGTTACTTAAGCTTTCTCCTATTTTGACATATTAAAAAGTTGCATTTTTGTCTTAACGTAATAAAAATATTTTTATTCAACATTCACCATCAGTGCGTGTAAGTGAGAAATAATGATATTTAGCAAATATTTCGTACATACACAAAACGACTGTGTGAATGCTGACATTCACCAGAGAATGTTGACATTCACCAGATATCGGTCATTCACAGTAACATATATATATATAAACTTGCCTCAGGTTTCAAACTAAAAAATTCAATTGACAAAATTTTATAAAATAAACCAAAAACATTTATATATATTCATTCATTAAATCCATTTTCTGAGAAAGTATAATTGGTTTTGATTTTACATTTCTTTATTTAAATGTCTGATAGCTTACATTACAATTTCATTGGTTAAAAATTTTATTTTTAATCAATGTAATTGTAAGCACTTAAAGAAAAATTTGTAATGTAGTGATAAAATTCACTAAATTACACAACCATGTTAGAACAAATATCCTTAGTGAACAAAGACATAGGATATGTTGCTTGATAAAGACACTTAATTAAAGCAGCTCTATTAAAAGATAGTTTAGCAATTTCTGCTTTAAGTTAGCTACTGCAGTGAAAGTGTGGCAAAGTTTGAAAGCACTCAAGACAAAATTCAAAATGATTGCCACAAACAACAAAGTAAAATTTGTAAAATATTTTAGAGTGAAGAATATGCATCACTGATTTTGTTCAATATTACAATTTTACATCATTTTGTGGCTGTTGGCTATGATATTGTATATTTTATTTTGAATTAATCCTAGCCTTCTTTCCTGTTTCTTTGTTCCTTCTAAGACCTTCTTATCTAACCCTTTTGCCCCTGGGGTAAGATTATCTTTTCCACGTAAATAAGAACAAAAGAGAAAGTGGGGCCCTGGGCAAAATGGACAGAAAACGAGTCACTCTGGGTGAAGATCCCGAATAAAGCAGAAGGAAAAAGCGAGTGCTCGTGACCTGAAGTTAAGGTTAATGATCGGCAAGAAAGAAAACAGACAGTTTCGAAAAAATAAAAAAAAAAGCTGTAAGGGCAATGAATAATCCAAGGAAAGACGACAATTTTTCGATATCAAGAAGTAGCCGTATAGACTTTAGAGCAAAAGATATCAAGTTGGTGCCATAAGCATATATATGTAATAAAACAAACCCTGGGTATTTCCACTCTCCCTACATTTTGTTTCCGTATCTATCTGTCCTGTACTCTTATTTTTCATTAGTTATAAGATAGATATAAGTTAGATGTAAGTTAGTTATATAATTAGTTTTTTTTTTTTTTTGTTATTTTGACGATTGTCATGTGTACGAACCCTGGCGATAGTAGAGGGCAAGCCTGTTCCTTTCTTTGTGTATAGAAGAAAGGCATAAAGTTTGTAAAGTTGGGATTCCGGAAAAAAAGAAGAAAAAAGAACCAGTTCGGAGAGAATAAAGAATATTGTGTGATATAATTAAATTTTGTATCTTTCTTTTTGTAACTTTTCATTCGCGGATTTGTATAAGTCTCTCATAACGAACAACCACAATTTCAAAGTGAGCATCTGTATGGTATTTATTGAATATTAATGGAAATTCACTTTATGAAAATTGTATTATTCATTTTGATATCAGTTAGATATGCTCTTATTATATNGGCTATGTCTTGGGCTACTCAAATAGTTTACGTTTTTGATACTAAATTAACTTCTGAAGTATAATTTTTTATTGTTTTTATATTTTTCAATATATTTATTTTGTTTGTATAAAATAAAAAAATAATTTTTAATGATACAATAGTCTTCGTTAGGCTTAACATCAACGAAAATTCAACGCAAAGTGACACGCAATGGAAAAAAATTTCAACATGGGATAAATTAATATATTTTTTCTTACATAATCGATTAACCGAAATATCGATTTTCCGAACAACCCCAGTCCCCAATTGATTTGGATAATCGACACTCTACTGTATTTACTTCTGAAGAAATGCCTGAAAAAATTAGAGATAGATATAAGAATAATTAAGATCTATGTAAAGGATAATTCAAGTTTAATATCGATATGTAATCAACTGATAATGATTCATTTCTGTTTCAACTGAAAAATTAATAAAACTATTCAATCTTAACTATTATTTATACCATTTAAAATTTTATTTGTCAAAATTCAGTCTTATATCCTGAATCAAAATATGAAATAATTTTTCCCATATTTTATGATAACAGAACTGAACATTCTTCCAATCCATAAAAAGTTAAAAATTACCATATCTTAATTTTTTATAATCAAGTAAATATTAATTTACAAATTAAAACTTGCAGTGGCTTGAGTAAATGCAAATGCTTATCACATATACATTTTGTGAATGATTTAAAAGATAAACTGCAATATATCTTTAAAAGTTAAGGGCCTCTGGGAAATTTGACACAAGTATTATAAAAAAAAAAATCATAACAATTAAATTATACTATAAAAAAATAACTTTTTATGTCTTTAAATACAGCATATGAAATATGAGAATATTGCATGATGCATTCAAGTATTTGTTAATTGGTATTCAAACTGCCATTGAAAATAAGAGCTGAGAGGTATAATGCACAACTTAGAATAGATGTGAAAATCATTATGAATGACATACAGACAGTTGATTTTAGCATTGACATTACATTTGAATAACAAATAAAAACATTCCATATAGTAAAATTGTATATATTTTAATGTACTCCATAAATATTATAAAGAGAGGTTATTTATCACATTCCTGTTAAGTAATCACACACCAAATTTCACTTACATTAAATTGACCTACAGGCAAAGTTAAGTATTATAAAAAAGTTATTTTTTAATTTGAGAATGCATTATATTGTTTCATGATGTGAAAGAAGTAAAGGTATTAACTAATGCTTTTAATGTATCTCATCCAGTTTTGCAGTATCTTTTAAGAAGTAAACTAACTACACTGTATACATGTTATATTTTAAACTGATGCAGGACAAATGCAAGTTTCATCTATATAACTGTAAATAAGATAAATATACATCAATTATTTTCATAACTTATAAAATTTTTAAAATTTAAGAATTCTTGAAAATTGAATATTCTGTAGATATACAGAATATTCAATTTTCATTTAGATCATGTAAATTAGGAATATTCAACATGTTCTTCAATTAAACAATATAAACTTAGATTGCTTACTAAATATTATACAGGTAATTGAAAAATCATTAATGAGGATGTCAAGATCAGGCAACTAATTTGACATTATTTAAAGAAAAAAATCTGATCTATAAATATTACTTTGTTTCTGCATTCCCAAGCCTATCCTTTTCTTATTGTGGGAGTCAAAAAACATTCCACGAAAAAAAAAATTCCCACTTAATCAGC